TCAACTTCAAAAAGTTTAGATAAAAACCCATTTAGAATAACACAAGTTTTAGTATTATATAAAAACAAAGATATCCATTTTCTAAGCATCGGACCAAAATGAAAAGATGAAAGACATTTCTCAATAAATGTAAAAGATAAAGTATCAAATGTTTTTTCAAAATCTATCATCATTGCTAAACCTGGTATATTATTACCTTCTGTAAATTTCATTACATCATACAATAATCTAATATTTTCTCCTATATATCTATTCTTTATAAATCCTGTCTGATCCTTTGAAACTAAAATATCTGGAACACCTTTTAATCTGTTTGCTATAGTACTACCTGCTGCTAATTTGTAAACTACATTCAATAAAGTTATTGATCTCCAATTTTTCAAAAAATGTTTTGGAATACATGTTATTATACCAAGTTTTTGATTTCTACTAAAAGTATTATTTCTGTAAGCAAAATTTATAGCTCTAACAACAAAATGACCAATTCCATTCCAAAAGGTTTTAAAGAAGTTAGCCGTAAATCTATCGAAACCTGGGCTTTTATCATTCTTCATATTTTTCAATGTAAAAGAAACTTCATCATATGTAAGAACACCTTCTAGTTTTAACATTTCATCATGAGTCAGAGTAGTAATATCACAATTTCCTGATTCTCTATCAATAACAGATTCATCGGTCAAATTCATTTTTTTAAATAGATTTTCATAAAAACAACAAGTATGTGTGAGTATATCTTTTTTATCATAAATAAATGTTCCGTTATCCATTTCTAAAAAAGGAATATTTTTTTCAGCGCAGTATTTTTTTTCTAAATTCAAAACAAAATGAGAATGTTTTTCCCCAGATTCAATCCATTGTGACCTTGACCTAATCATAGAACCTTTTATTTTATTATGTCTTATCCATTTAATTCATTTTGTAAATGTAAAAGTCTGTCTTTATTATCAATTGTCAAATTTTGTTCTATAAGTAATATTTCCTCCATTATTTGTTTTGTCATAATTATTTTCTCTTTAACCTTATAGGAGCTATATATACGAAATAGTTTTACCTCTTATTTCCATCAAAAGTGTTTCTTAAAATAGTTCATCATTGATTGCTGGGACATAAGATATGTCCCAGTTGATTGTAATGTTAATGTCTTTATTTTTTGTATCTAAGATATATGTCACAGGGTGACAAAAATGTGCAGCATGACTCAAACCCGGGACCCTCGGAATACCGTTCCGCGGCTCTACCGACTGAGCTATCCGGCCGCTTACACATCTTCTCCCCTAAATAGTGAACAGTTCTGAACCGTGACATACTTCACCACAATATTGAAATTCGTCCTCGAATTTCACAAAGCTACAGAGCAATGCTAATTGAACGCTGAGCTATAAGCAGTCAAGGTCCCCCGTTGGGCGCCAAATGTCACAGGGTGAGAAAAATGTGCAGCATGACCGGGACTCGAACCGGAATACCGTTCCGCGGCTCTACCGACTGAGCTATCCGGCCGCTTACACATCTTCTCCCCTAAATAGTGAACAGTTCTGAACCGTGACATATAGTCTATATTATACACTGGCAAATATCTTTATCGATAATTTAGAAATTGACTAAAAATAATTAAGATGGTTAAAACCAGCATTTAGTAGTTTATTGCCCTAGCGGACACCACAGAAAAGAAAAAAATACATTAGTTATCATTCCGGTTCGGGTACGTTACGATACCGAAATCAACTTGATTTCGGTAAAGTTACCGAAATCAACTTTTCATTACCGAAATCAACTCGTAAAAACCAACCTAGTTAAAATATTGCTATTATTTCTTCATTATTTGATGAAAAATAGTAAAATAAACTTTCAGTTAAAAAATCTATTGAAAATATTTTATTTTAATGATGTTATTAACAAAAATGAAATTATTGAGTTACTTCCCTTTGTTCTAAACAACCCATTATGTGTTTAGCATTACCGAAATCAACTCGTAAAAACCAACCTAGTTAAAATATTGCTATTATTTCTTCATTATTTGAAGAAAAATAGTAAAATAGACTTTCAGTTAAAAAATCTATTGAAAATATTTTATTTTAATGATGTTATTAACAAAAATGTAATTATTGAGTTACTTCCCTTTGTTCTAAACAACCCGTTATGTGTTTAGCATTACCGAAATCAACTCGTAAAAACCAACCTAGTTAAAATATTGCTATTATTTTTTCATTATTTGATGAAAAATAGTGAAATAGACTTTCAGTTAAAAAATCTATTGAAAATATTTTATTTTAATGATGTTATTAACAAAAATGTAATTATTGAGTTACTACTTTAAATGATAGAAAATGTTTTTCATGTAATGTCTTAGAAGACTAGTACCATTTCATATTAGAATGCAATGTATATAATGATTTAAGAAAAAGTCTGATACCGCCATATTAGCATGTTATATATCTGCACGTGATTGTCGCGCATAACAATTTTCTAAATAAAATCGTATTTTTAAAAAGCTATGATCGGACTATGATGGAAAAATAAAATATTCTGTAATATGAGTTAAAGATAATTATAAATTTTGTACATGTTTATGTTTTATGAAGAAAAAATATTCAACTTCAATCGGAAGTTTATGATTTTCTATTATAAATTTGAATACAGATATATAATTCGACTGCTCTAATAATGTTCCATAAAAATTGTATGATGTATCAGGCAGTAAAATTGGAAATTTGAAAGTTTGTGTCTTTCTTTTATTGAACAGTTTAACTATATATTAACAAATCACTAACATATGTTATGGGGACTCTTTATTATAATATTTTTATATTTTAGTCATTTACTTAAATGTTTAATACGAAATAAACAGATTGTTCATTATAATCTACATACAATATATGTCAACTGTACCTCCTGTCTTAATTACTTCACACCTTACTTAATACAGTAATACAAAGCATGTCATATCGTACAAGTTACAACATTTCATAATTGAAATTTGTCAGTAACAAGTGTTCCTTTTTTTTCATCATATAAATATATAGTACCAGTCATTCCATAAATTTATGCTGTTTACAGATATGAAATTTAAAATGATTTTAAATCGATCAACATAAAATCATGACTTAACAACTTTTTCAATAAGTAGAATATGTAGTTAAGTATCCGGGACATCAAAAAATTGCATACATTTTTGGAACAACTGATATGCAATTTGGTAATAATAATATCAAAGCACCTTGTCTCATATACCGAAATGTTTTCTACGGCCACCCCTACAAATTAGTTAAAACCGGTCTTTTGACAATTTATTTAATATAAAATTATATTTTACCAGCTTACTAGATCTGAAATATGTATAATATAGAACTATAAAAAAAAGTCTTTTGATATATATTATATAGGGATGGTCGCTATACGTCATTTTATATTAAACTGTAATGTATTTTCTGTCTTAATGGAGACAAGCAGCTTTATTTTCATGCAAAATAATTATGTCTAATTATGTTGTTTGGATACTTTAAAGTTTCCATGCGCCGATGTATATGTATATTTTTACTTGCCTGTCCTAATTACCGCGAACTCCGAAAAAAATATCTTAAACCATATTTCTGCCGATGGCCAACAATAAATAAGTTTGAACTTCTAATGAATTCTAAATCAAAAAAATCTATTTCCCAACTAGCAAAATTCGTTTTCTTTGCAGATAAAATCCGCGTTTCGTAGACACCTGAAGAAAATAACTCACAAAAAATTGTATTTGTTTCAAGACTTTGTAAAATATCTAACACAAAATTATATTTGTTAAAACAATTTGTATGCTTTTTTCTCTTTTGGATATGTTTTCATTTGCCAATGTATATATTTGTATGTGCTATAAGCATTGTAAAATGTTTAATGCAATAAAGATATTGAATTGAATTGAATATATTAAAGGATTGCGGTTAACGAGTATGTTAATTATGTCAACTAACACCTCCATTGTCCGAGCACGTGTATGCTTGCTCCTTATTAGTAAAGGTGTTATGATGAATGGCTACCGCTACGTCTTTTTATTTTTTTATTTATTTTAATCAAATCATAATCATTGGATTTAAATTAAATTCTGTGATAATTTCCAATCAACTATTTTAATAGTGATCTAAATTAGGCGGATAACTTCAAACACAGTTTTGTTTAATCTTAATTGTATTTTGAAATCATTAAGAAACATCAAAGAGATGATACGCTGCAATGTTATCTGACTAAACATTGTAAATAAGCGATATGAATTCAAAGTTTAAAACTCACTCAAATACCTTTTTTATAGACTTCTGAAATTCATGCAAATATTTTAGGGGTTATTCTCATCTTTGAAATGTAATCTGATTTGATTTCGGTAATGCAACACAATTAATAACAAGGGAAGTAATCATGATATAATATACATATCCGTCTATAACATCATCATTTTTTATAATTAAATATTATTTTCCTATGTTTATGGTTCAGTTTGAATGATTTTATATTAATTAATTAAACAAGATCTATGAAAATGTTTAGTTTAACTTTTTACAAGCCGATTTCGGTATGGTAACATATATTTCGGTTCGTGACAAATCAGGGAAGTAATCTTGAAATATAGGTATTTGTTTCTAATTTCATAATTATTAATTATTTCGAAACTGATTTTTTGCATGAATGTCAAACTAAACCTATTGTAATAGATTATAATGAAAAAATATAATAGAGCGCTTAATTGTGATTTTTACAAGTCGATTTCGGTATTGTAAACATATATTTCGGTTCGTGACAAATCAGGGAATAATCTTGATATTTAGTTATTTGTTTCTAATATCATTATTAATGATTATTTCGAACTGATTTTTTGCATGAAAGTCAAACTTAACCTATTGTAATATATAATAATGAAAAAAATATAATAAAACGCTTAATTGTGATTTTATAAGTTGATTTCGGTAATGAAAAGTTGATTTCGGTAACTTTACCGAAATCAAGTTGATTTCGGTATCGTAACGTACCGTTCCGGTTCCGGTTTACAAAATTCCGCGAAAATATAAAAACAGCTGATGCAGCTTTATTTGTTAAAAAAGGAAATTTGGCAATAATAGTCATATTGTCATCAAAGTGACTTTATTTCTGTGTTGTTTCTTCCCCAAAGAGTTATCCTGTCGGATAGGAAATCTAACCTAGCATGTCAGCTCGAAATTATTTTAAATTCAATAAAAACTTAAAAAAGAATAGTAATTGTTCATCAAAAGAAATCCAGCCAAAAAATAACAAAATTGATTCTCAAGCTACAATTTCAAAATTCTTTTCATCAAACACAAAAAGAAAATTATCGGCAGTGACAGAGACAGATGGTGTTGTAGTGATTGAGGACAGTCCAACTGGAGAAGGAGAAAAGGTAATCTATCGCTCATTCTCAATAAAACAAAGCATTTGATGTTCCACTGGGCAGCTCTTATACAAAGGTTTTTTTTTTAGGTCAAAATGTCATTAGAAAGATGGCTGCCACTTTGTCTTATTGGGTCTCTCTCAGTTTTACATTTTAATCTCATATTTTTCTTTTACAAGTACAATTAATGCCCTAAAATGTAACATACTTTACTGTCGCCACCTAGAATTTTCAAATTTGAAATTGTGTTTCAGAAAAGTAAGCTCCAGAATAAACGAAACATGTGCAATTAGTCAATTTGCTGCATGCATATATACTTTGATTATAAGAAAATTAAGCTGACAGCCTCTCAAATATCATTCTGTTTTCGTAAATTTTCATTTTTAATTCAAATCTTTTTCAACAGCATTTTAAAAAGAAACATACGTTACCAATGTTTTAGAGCTAACCCATTTAAGGAAGACTCCAAACAAGAAAGAAAATAAACATGTGTGTAATTTTGATAGATTAACCACAAATTATGGCGGGTTATACGCTCTTGCTTCATTTTTCAACCCACTTTCAATGTAGAGTCTAAAATTGAAACATGCGTTACAGAAACATACGTTACAGAAACATACGTTACCAACTTTTTAAAAGGAAAATTCAAGTCAGAAAGCACATATAAGAGCAAAATCAACTTCAATTTTACATAAGTAAGTAAATTTTGTTAACTTGGTTGAGTTTTAACCGCCTCCGAGGTCGAGGGGTTAGAGTCGATGACTTCTAATCCAGTTACCGCTCTGGCGTGGGTTCGATCCCCGGGAGATGCTTTGGTAGTTTAGTGCGGAGGAAGGTAGTCTAGTACTGGTGTAACTCTCCAGGAACGATGGTTAGGAAACTACCCACCTATATGACTTAAATACCGTTGGAAAAAGGTGTAAAATGAAACAAAAAAGAACAAATAAAAAAAACTTGTTTAAGTAACCACAGGGAAACATACGTTACTTTTATTAAATAGACTTGATATTGTTTACACATGCAAATATAAAAACATAAAGTCGCATTTTTTATGACAATAGAATGATGTACATTTGATTTCTAAATAAAAGAGTCGATTTTACAGTAAGTTTTAATCATGTGATAGATTTCAGAAATAAGCCAGTGTGAAACATACGTTACTCCAACTTACAATACAACATTTTTTGAAAATTAAATATAAAGTTGGGATTAGCATGCCTATTAGTAACGGTTACCTTGTATTTGATGTAAGAAGATACAAAAGTGGTTTGCAAAGGAAAGATATTTTCATAATATGTTGATGTACATGTACATGCAGAAATTTTAAAAATATGTAACAAGCTGTTAAAGTTTTCAACAACAACTAATTCGTTTCTGCAAAGAGCTTTAATTGGCTGTATTTCATTCTATATATTGTAATTATGTTAAAATAATATCCAAAAATATAAATTATTTTACAAAAAATAAATTTTTTTTTTTTTAATCTTTACTTGTATTTGAATAAAATGAAACATACATGACATGCTATATGGGGATAAATATCAAACTGTTTTGCAATAAATTTTCCTAATATGAAGAAAGTGGAAAGCTGAATATTTTGAAAAAAGGTTGCTAAATACAACATTTGTGTATGTATTCGACCCCTTACTGTAATATATGATATATATTTTTTGAATGAAGACAAAAAAATTAATAATCATTTCAAAAATTGACCCTTTTTTTGCTTTATACGAATATTTAACTTTCAAGAAATAAACTGAAAATTAGCGAGGTACCAACTTCCTTGAATTTTCCTGGGTTAGAAAGTCCCTCTAGATAAAGAATTTATAGATTTTGATATATTTTACAGACATTTGTTATTTACAATGTATATGCAGCCAATATGTTACATTATTAGAATTGAAATCTACGTTACCGGGGATATACAGTGTCATTACCGAAATAATGCCATTCTATTATATTATACTTTCTTGTTGAAAATATTTTTGGTAAACTTACAAAATACCTTAAACTTTTACTCCAGCGATAAAAAATGACACAATGACAACATCAGATTTTTTTATATTTTCCAACCTTAAATGCTTCATTTTATTGAGAATGGGCGCTATATATTTTGCACTGTTCTGTTCAACTACTATATTTACAAACTCTTCCTTAGTCCTATTAATATGACATGGCTTTAATATATTTTTGCTTCTGGTCAAGCTTGACCGACATAAACTATAACAAGCCTGTAATTTGTCTGATATATTGGACTAACTCTTCCTATAAGATTCAATTTGATCAATGGAACAAGAGCTGAACAATTTGGATGACGAAATTGTTCGCACTGGTTGGGGACAGTAGTCGGACTATTCTCTCCTTTACCAGTTCCTCCCCTGATGGTTCTTTCCCTATTTTAGGGGAGAACCGTCTGCATATTTAAAAAAAAAATTTGTACAAAATAATTTTCAAGTTTTATAATTTATAAATTTGCTTTGGACTTATAATATAATGTTAATAATTAAGTGTTTTCATAATGGCTTTGTTATTTGGCTTTAGACTGTCTTATTAGCCTTTGGCCTTTGGCAATTTTATTAACTACACATAATCTAAAACAGTTAAGTACTTAGTGAACAAAAAATAACTAATGTGAAATTCTGTTGTTGTGAGGTAGTGCAAATGAGATTCTTGTTTTAAAAATGTCTCCTTGCAACAATTCAATTTGGCGACTTATTTTTCAATGAAAAATAACAAGCAGATTTATAATGGCTGAGCTAGCTGGAGAGCCAATCAAAATTCTTCGATCCCTTAATAGCCAAGTTAAAGGCCGTACTTTTTGCATAAAGGTCTTGTTTTATGTTCATAATGCCATGGTGAACTTCAATTTAACCTTACATTTGAAGTGAAAACATGCCTAGATATATTGGAAAGTCAATTAATGATAAGTCTTATTACTTTTACTTTCAGTCATGGAAAAGACAGAAACATACGGATTCATCTGAGAATGCTGACATCTCCTCCAACATCAGTCCATTAGTTACAAGAATTAAACGAAAATTGCAGAACTTTTCAGCTATTGAACTAGACAACATACAAAAAGAAGATGTTGGTAGTTTTGATTTTGAATCCTTGAAAAGTAAACATAACAATAAATTATTTGAAAGTAAAAATGCTGATGTCACAGCAGTTTCTACAGGTGTTGAGTTTGATGAGGCTGATGGAGAACTTGATTGTCAATTAAACAAACTAAGTAAATTTAAAACAGGAAGCAAAGATTGTAAAAGTGACAATAGTAAAAAACGTGGAAAATTGAAGTCTTCAGGGGGTTTATCTGTGAAATATACACCATTAGAACAACAGTATTTAGAGTTTCGGGAGAAATATCAAGATGCTGTCTTATTTATTGAATGTGGATATAAATATAGATTCTTCGGAAAAGATGCAGAGGTGAGTTCCTATATTTTTTAGGGGAATTGAAATGATCCATGTAGGTAAGATGTTCTCATGAATTACTGGTAAGGCTAGCATGACTTTCTGTTACTTTTTCATCTATGCAGATTTTCATATTATGATTTTTCCTCCACCTTTTGGGAACAGCTACTTTTACCCTTGAAAAAAGCCTTGGTTTCGATATTGTAAGGATAATTAGATTTTTTTATGTAAGTAAGGTTTTTAGGTAACAGTAAGTCTAGAGGTGTCTACAAAGGTCCCAGCAAGTACCAAAATAATGCACTTACTAAGTTACATGTAGATATTCCTTTTGTCTTTCTCTACCAATAATAAATATCACCATTTATTACATGCTTTTCGCCATTTTCGGTGATTTATAGAATTATATCAGTGAAATTTGAAACTGATATTTCACTGTTTTAAACAGTGAAAATATCACTTTGAATTTTTCACTTTTTAGCTCACCTTGCACAAAGTGCCAACCAAATGGCGTCCGTCGTCCGTCCACATTTTAAATATTCTAAGGACATCTTCTATGATACCGCAAGGCCAATGTTAATGAAACTTGGCAGGAATACTTTTTGTATGAAGCTCTATCAAGGTTGTTCAAAGAATTCCATTTCATGCAGAACTCTGGTTGCCATGGCAACCGAAAGAAAAATCTTTAAATATCTTCTTTTAAAGAACCGTAAGAGCTAGAGCTTAGATATTTGGCATGAAACATCTTCTAATGAGTGTATACCAAGTTTGTTCAAATAAAAGCCCTAGGGTCAAAATTGGCCCCGCCCCAGGGGGTCATTGATTTTCCCTTTATGCATATAGTAAAAACTTAAAAAATCTTCTTTTAAAGAACCCAAAGAGCTAGAGATAAGATATTTGGCATGAAACATCTTCTAGTGAATGTCTACCAAGTTTGTTCAAATAAAAGCCCTGGGGTCAAAATTGGCCCCGTCCCAGGGGGTCATAGATTTTCCCTATATGCATATAGTAAAAACTTAAAAAATCTTCTTTTAAAGAACCCAAAGAGCTAGAGCTAAGATATTTAGCATGAAACATCTTCTAATGAGTGTCTACCATGTTTGTTCAAATAAAAGCCCTGGGGTCAAAATTGGCCCCGCCCCAGGGGGTCATTGATTTTCCCTATATGCATAATAATAAATTAGTAAAAACTTAAAAAATCTTCTTTTAAAGAACTCAAAGAGCTAGAGCTAAGATATTTAGCATGAAACATGTTCTAATGGGTGTCTACCAAGTATGTTCAAATAAAAGCCCTGGGGTCAAAACTGGCCCTGCCCCAGGGGGGTCATTGTTTTTAACTATATGTGTATAGTAAAAATTTAAAAAATCTTCTTTTAAAAAACCCAATGAGCTACAACTTAGATGTTTAGCATGAAACATCTTCTTATGGGTGTCTACCAAGTCTGTTCAAATAAAAGCCTTGGGTAAAAATTGGTCCGGGGGGGGGGGGGGGGGGGCAATATACAGGTGAGCGACCTCAGGGCCATCATGGCCCTCTTGTTTAAGTTTTAGTACCCGGTAAAATTTTTCAGTGCTTGAAACCAACTTTACTTAGTGACGTGACCTCATGAATGACATCACATAGTATTATTATTTGGCGCGCATTTCATTTAGGTTAAAAAAAAATTTGATGCATATAGTAAAAAGAAAATTTGTTTAGTTTAGTGTAAAATCAAAATATATTTCACCTCAAGAACCCCAAAAGTTCATATTTCCCTTTTGGCTGTGCCACTTGTGAATTGTACCTTTTGGGGCTCACTAGGTGAAATATGTTCTGACCTTACACTGACCTGAGTGACCTCTATATCACTATGACAGAATTATCAGAAACAAGCAGAGAAATTACAGTATGTAAAGTCTCCTTTACCTAATAATACACAAATTACCATTATAAAAGTGACAATTAAATGATTATTTTCATCACCTTTTTTCCCCATCCTATTACTTAACGAGTAAAGAATATTTGCAGATTATGACTTGGATCTTCTCACAGGATAGTAAGCAAACCTAAATTAATACATTTGTACTTTTGACTTAACTTTTACCATTGAAAAACTTAGAATGAATTTTAAAATTTCATTAAAAAAGATAGCATAAAATATTAAAAATGGATTAGTGCTGCAGCTTTTAACCCATTGTGATAGTATTACAATATTGTTGAGTTTCACTAATATATATTTGTTTTTTTCAGATAGCTTCGAAGGTTTTGAAGATATATGCTCATCTTGACCATAACTTTATGACAGCAAGTATACCTGTACACAGGTTGTTTGTACATGTTAGCAGAATTGTCTCCGCTGGGTATAAGGTTAGTATAACTTCTTAACTCCTGAATTTATTATATGGACTTGTCCAGCTTACATTTTTGGAACAGTCCATGAACAGTTTTGGGGATATCAAGATGAAATTTTAAAGTAAGCAGTATAGAGCCTATCAGACTGTCTGGATGCACAGGTGGGCCTGCTCTATACTGGTTGCTATAGTAATCATTAGGTTCCGGCATGGTAAGAGAGCATGGTAAGAGAGAATAAAAAGAATTTTGTTAATATCCTTTTGCATGAAAAACTAAACCTTTATTATATTATTATTATTCTATACTAGACAAAGGGATCTTTTTTGGCTCTCCAAAAACGAAGGTTCAGATTGAGCTATTAATATCAAAGGATGATGCGTCATAGTCTGTGGTACGTCGTCCGTTGTCATACGTCAACATTCATCTTCTTCTCTTAAAACTTCTGGGCAAATTTACTTAAAAAATGTTTTCTTCTACTGAACTTACTTATGGATGATCACCAAACTCTGTCTGTAACATTCTTAGGTAGTCTTTTATCAAATTTGCTCATATTAAATTGATTTGCCCTTTTTAAGGGCTGCTAAAGCTAAAAATAGAAAAACCTTTAATTATTTTTTTCATCGATGATTACCAAATATTGTCTCTAGCATTCTTAGGTAGTCCTTTTTCAAATTTGATCATATTAAATTGATTTGGCTCTTTTTAGAGGCTGCTGAAGCTTAGAATAGATCTTCTTCCAAACTTTTTCTGTAGCACTCTTAGGCAGTCCTTTTAGGGGCAGCTGAAGCCAAAAATAGAAAAAACCTTTACTCCATGTTGGTGCCAATATTGTAAGGGAATAATATAATTGCTGTATGTTTTATTCATTGACATCGCTAGGTTGGTGTGGTACAACAAACAGAGACTGCAGCGTTGAAGGCAGCTGGCAATAACAAGAATACTCCATTCACACGGCAACTGACAGCCCTGTATACAAAATCCACTATGATATCTGAAGGTATCCTTTATATCACACTCATATTTAGGGCAGTAATGATTACTAGGATATTCATGATTCAGATGTTAACAATACAGATTAGGTATTAGTCCTAAGATCGCAAGATTGTAATAAATAAAAAATCCTAATAACTACTAGATCTACAGAAATTCAGAAAAATCATTTCATTATTTAACTTCATCTAGTTTCTGTTTGCATTTCAAGTGCTTTTATTATTTCCAGCTAAACTTCAATTCTAAACTGTTGTTACAGGAAGTTATGTAGAAATCATTTCTTATGTATTTTCATTTAAAATTTCTTTTTAAAAAGTATCGTTTATTCTTTTAGTATTAGAACAATGGTTTGTGGTATGATACGTGGCACGTCAGGTCTGAACTGTCGGCCAGCCCTTCTTAATATTGATGACCTCCTTTAACCCTTTACCTCATATATATGTGAAACAACGCACTTTCATTGCCCCCCCCCCTATTTTAGGCCTCAAATAGTGAAAAAATGCCCTGTTTGGGTCCCAGACACATGTTTTCATTTGAGTTATGTTGTTAAAAAACTTTTTCGACGCGGCCTCCCAAAAGATACATCAGTGGGTTCCCAGAAGGGGGGTGGTTTGTGGGGTTTGAAGGGCGTTGGTAGTCCCACTCATCGCCAAGAAAATTTTGGACTTGTGAGAGGCTAAAAATGACCCCAGATCGATATGAAGTAAAGTGTTACCATCGCTGAAAAAGCATTTGACTCTATCTCAATCCCATGACAAGTTGCTGCACTTTGAAATCAATTTTGATGAAAAAATCAAAGCAAAATAGTGATTTTTGGCAATTTTGAGATGTCCCCTCGTGCCATGGTATCAGGAAATTTAAGCCTGAGCATGTTGTTACAAAGGCAATTGTCCAGTCAACATTTGTGCCAAATTTGATTAGTGTTGAAGCAGTTTTAATAGTATTATAGCAGTATAAACTTGTAACAGGAGACTTTTCAATGAAAACAGCCATTTTTTACAAAATGCTCATGAAGTAATGGGTTAAATGTAGTAAAACATTTGACATGCTTGTTGGTTGATTTGTTTTTGGATTAAATTTTCTTTTTAACATTTTCAGCATATTGGGATTGATGTATAATTTGTTTAATTTTTGATCTTTTAAACCTTTCGTCTTTATTCCTATAATCTTGATGAATTTTTTAGATTTTTAACAAGGCATATTTTATTCTATAATTATGCAGTCAAATATTGAGTACATCATCTAACAAAGTCAACAAAAATTAAGAATATTTATTTAAAGTGTGATTTTCATGTACACTAACCTTATAAGACATGGTGATCATTATTTTTAATTAGTCCCCTACCGGTTTAACCGGAGGGGACTTTAGGTTTACCCTCCGTCCGTCTGTCCGTCTGTCTGTCTGTCCGTCTGTCTGTCCGTCTGTCTGTCTGTCTGTCAGTCTGTCAGTCCGTCAGTCCGTCCGTCCACAAAACTGGATCCCGCGATAACGCAAAAAGTACTGAAAATATTTTTATGAAACTTGATATATGGATAGATGGCAGTATGGAGATTATGCACGTCTTTTTTTTTTCTTCCTATGTTGAAAATTCTGGTTGCTATGGCAACAAATAGTCTGAAAATATGGCAAATTTAACACATAAACTGGATCCAGTGATAACTCAAAAAGTACTGAAAATATTTTTATGAAACTTGAAATATGGGTAGATGGCAGTCTGGAGACTATGCACATCTTTTTCTTTTCTTCCTATGTTGAAAATTCTGGTTGCTATGGCAACAAATAGCCTGAATTTCAAGATTTCTGATTTAAATTTTTCAGCTTTTTCACTATATGTTCTTTATTTCTTAAGGTGTTTACTTCAAACTTTAAATATAAGTTTCTGGTCATCAACCACATCATATGTGACAAGGTTTATAACTCTAGCACAAAAAATATCAGTATTACCTCCCTTGAACTTAGATTTTTTAGGGGAAAAAATGTTGTCTTTTTTAAATAACTTCTTTATTTCCTAATGTATCTACTTCAAACTTCATATATATGTTTCTTATTATCACTCGACATTTTTGAGAAGGTTAAATACTCTAGCAAGACTATTTCCAGAATTATGTCCCCCTAATTTAGATTTTTTTCGAGAAACTGGTATTTTCACTCCAACTTCTTCATTCCTTATAGGATTTACTTTAAAATCCCACATCGTAATAATATGACAAGGTTGTATAAACATAATTTCCTTACTAAGCATGGAAACTTAACACATTACTGTGATATAGACAAACTTATTTTATTATGTTTTGTGGTTGATATTTTCAAATACAGACTTCATCCTCAAATTCATTATAAATGGCAATACACAGGAGTGTATGACAATTAAAGAACTTTTTGAGGGACCGGTAGGGGACTACTGTATTGCCCGCAATACTATCAAATGCTTGTTTGATACAGAAATAATTACAATCTGATTTATGAGAAAAGACACTTCTCTAAACTTAAGTTATTCTTCTTTAGAATATAATGGAAAATCATTTAATAAATCAAAGCACAGAAGGAGCTGAATTTGTTTGGGTCTCAGAATGTCAGAAAGGTGAAGTTTATGAGATTATAAACCAATTTGTTTTGTATAGTGCCACCAATGGTTTCCAGTGTTTTAACTGTAGTAAATTGGCTATAAGACTAATTGCAACACTGATAGTGAATTCAATGTTTATTTGACTTAAATTTTTTTTTTTAAAAATGAGATGCCTCAAGGGGGTTATGAACTCCAGACCTCTCGATTCATAAGCGAGCGTGCAAACCCCTCGGCCACGGTGAAGTTATATGTTTACGGCCTGATGAAAACCATATTATTCTAAATTAGGGTTTGTAACTCTTATTATTTCGACGCTATACCTGTTGTTTAACACAGATGTAAATAATTATGGAGCTTACTGTAAGCATGTATATCTATAAAGAATGAAACAATATTAGAAATCTTCGACCATTTGGGAACTACTTTGCTTAAAAATTAATGCGCCTTTCATTTGACAATCTTTACGCATTGATCTCCCCTGAATTTTTCAGGGTTAGTGTACATATAAAGGGAAGTAACCACTTCAAAAAAGTGGACTACTTTAGGCATTTGCAATTAACAGCTTGAGGCTCTGAAATTTCACTACCATTATTTGTTTGGTCTGACGATCCAAACAAATAAAAATGATGTAACCTTTTTTAACTCGAATATAATGATGCTGAATAGAAATTGATGTTGGCTTTTATGTGCCCGAAGAAACTTCATGACATAATTATGGTATGACATTGTCAGCTCGTCTGTTGGTTTAAACATATTTATTTAAGCTCGATTGCGAAACAGGTTCTTGCAACTGATATTAATCACTTTAAAGTCCCCTTCCTGGAACCAACCAGTACTGGTGTCATATGAAGAAACATAGTCATGACCCGAGTAGGGCTCGAACCCATGATCTCTGGGTTGAGAGGCAGACACCTTAACCACTAGGCCACCGGCCTGTCTGTTTGTCTGCACTGCAAAAATTGGAATAGGGGGCCATATAATTATAAATAGAACAAAAGAGAACAATAAAGTTCATTCTGTAACAATAGAGTGAGTGTCCAACAGCCCTTTTTAAACAAAAGAAAATAATAAAGAAATTGCCCTTTATAGTGATTCAGCCACATGTCTGTCTGTCTGTCTGTCTGTCTGTCTGTCTGTGTGAAAACACAGGTTACGTTTCAATTTCCTTCTGCAATCAAATGAGCCGTGTCACGGCAAAACCAACATAATGGGTTTGCGACTAGCAAGGATCCAGACCAGCCTGTGCATCCGCGCAGTCTGATCAGGATCCATGCTGTTTGCTTACAGACCCTATAACAAGTAGAGAAACTGATAGCGAACAGCATGGATCCTGATCAGACTGTGTGGATGCGCGGGCTGGTCTGGATCCTTGCTGGTCACAAACTCATGATGTTGGTTTTGTCGTGACGCGGCTCAAATTATTATTGACAAATTTACACCCTTTTATATGCAGGCAATCTATTACAAATATGCTTTTAACAAAAATAAATATTAGACAGTATTCAAATGTATCTATTCTTTCACATTCAACTGAAAGATTATCATTTGTGCTTATTTACAACAATCAATCTGGATGGCATATATTTGATTCCAAATTGATTTACTGCACTAAATTTACCACTTTAAAAAGTCACAGGTTGTTTTGACAATTGCAAAAAAAATATCACTGGTTGTTATTACTTTCTTAGCTTCTGATGATATATTCTTTTGATTGAATAATTAAAATTCTGTAAGATGTGTTATTATTATCATTTTTATGTTGTTTATTATACCCCCGCACAACAAAGTTGTAAGGGGGGTATACTGGAATCAGCTTGTCCATCCGGCTGTCCGTGGGTTTTTTCTTGTCCGCCCAATAACTTAAGATTCCTTTGACCCTTAGTCTTCATATTTGGCATGGAGGTTAGTCATGATAAGTAGAATGACCCCTATTGATTTTGAGGTCACTAGGTCAAAGGTCAAGGTCACAGGGGCCTTGACTTCAAAAAGCTTGTCCGCCCAATAACTTAAGATTCCTTTGACCCACAGTCTTCATATTTGGCATTGAGGTTAGTCATGATTAGTAGATGACCCCTATTGACTTTGAAGTCACCAGGTCAAAGGTCAAGGTTACAGGGGCCTTGACTTCAAAAAGCTTGTCCGCCCAATAACTTAAGATTCCTTTGACCCACAGTCTTCATATTTGGCATGGAGGCTAGTCATGATAAGAAGATGACCCCTATTGACTTTGAGGTCACCAGGTCAAAGGTCAAGGTCACAGGGGCCTTTACTTCAAAAAGCTTGTTCGCCCAATAACTTAAGATTCCTTTGACCCACAGTCTTCATATTTGGCATGGAGGTTAGTCATGATTAGTAGATGACCCCTATTGACTTTCAGGTCAAAGGGCAAGGTCACAGGGGCCTTTACTTCAAAAAGCTTGTCCGCCCTATAACTTAAGATTCCTTTGACCCACAGTCTTCATATTTGGCATGGATGTTAGTCATGATTAGTAGATGACCCCTATTGATTTTGAGGTCACCAGGTCAAAGGTCACAGGGACTTTGACTTCAAAAAGCTTGTCCGCCCAATAACTTAAGATTCCTTTGACCCACAGTCTTCATATTTGGAATGGAGGTTAGTCATGATTTATAGATGACCCCTATTGATTTTGAGGTCACCAGGTCAAAGATCAAGGTCACAGGGACTTTGACTTCAAAAAGTTTGTCCGCCCAATAACTTAAGATTCCTTTGACCCACAGTCTTCATATTTGGCATGGATGTTGATCATGATTTATAGATGACCCCTTTTGATTTTGAGGCCACTGGATCAAAGGTCAAGGTCATAGGGACTTTGACTTCAAAAAGTTTGTCCACCCATTAACTTAAGATTCCTTTGACCCACAGTCTTCATATTTGGCATGAATGTTGATCATGACTATAAGGTGACACCTATTGATTTTGAGGTCACTGGGTCAAAGGTCAGGATCACAGGGACCTTGACAAAAAAAAAGGTTTTCTTCTCAATTGCTAAAGAATGTTCTGTCCGCAATGTATTGATTTTGACATTTTCACATTTGAAGCATGTAGAATGCATAACTTAGCAATGCACTGGCTTAGTAGCCTCAGATTTGACAGGGAGGTTGTCCTTGAGCTCTAAATGGCCACTGTTGATTCTGACAAAGTGGTATGCGGGGGTATTCACGCCATGATAGTGGCAGTTCTAGTTTTTCTTAAACATCATCTAGATATGAATGAAACCTCTGAAGGTGATGTAGGTCAGGCTGTTTCTATGGCAACAAACTATCTCATGTGTATATGTGAGCATGAGGTACCAAAAGGAGAACAGAAAACACCAATTGGAATCATGGTGAGTTAAATTTGAAATAAATGTAATAACTATGCTGTTTTAGCTAGACTTTTTTTTACTTATGGGTCTTTTTGATCAATTGTAATGATTTCGTTATAACAGTTTCCTCTATATAACTTAATACATGTACTATTTCAAATACACTTTCCAAATTTATCATGATGATATTTTTTTAGCTCACCTGTCACAAAGTGACAGGGTGAGCTTTTGTGATCGCTTTTCGTCCGTCGTCCGTCCGTCGTCCGTCAGTCATCTGTCCGTCGTCCGTCCGTCCTTAAACTTTTACTTTAAATGACATCTCCTCATAAACCACTAAGCCAATTTCATCCAAACTTCACAGGAATGTTCCTTTGGTGGTCACCTTTAAAAATTGTTCAAAGAATTTAATTCCATGCAGAACTCTGGTTGCCATGGCAACCGAAAGAAAAAACTTTAAATATCTTCATTTAAAAAACCATAAGAGCTATAGCTTAGATATTTGGCATGAAACATCTTCTAGTGAGTGTCTACCAAGTTTGTTCAAATAAAAGCCCTGGGGTCAAAATTGGCCCCGCCCCAGGGGGTCATTGATTTTCCCTATATGCATATAGTAAAAACTTAAAAAATCTTCTTTTAAAGAACCCAAAGAGCTAGAGCTAAGATATTTAGCATGAAACATGTTCTAATGGGTGTCTACCAAGTTTGTTCAAATAAAAGCCCTGGGGTCAAAATTGGCCCCGCCCCGGGGGGTCATTGATTTTCCCTATATGCATATAGTAAAAACTTAAAAAATCTTCTTTTAAAGAACTCAAAGAGCTATGGCTAAGATATTGAGCATCAAACATGTTCTAATAGGTGTCTACCAAGTTTGTTCAAATAAAAGCCCTGGGGTCAAAATTAGCCCCGCCCCAGGGGGTCATTGATTTTCCCTATATGCATATAGTAAAAACTTAAAAAATCTTCTTTTAAAGGACCAAAAGAGTTAGAGCTAAGATATTTAGCATGAAACATGTTCTAATAAGTGTCTACCAAGTTTGTTCAAATAAAAGCCCTGAGGTCAAAATTGGCCCCGCCCCGGGGGTCATTGATTTTCCCTATATATGCATAATTAGTAAAAACTTAAAAAATCTTCTTTTAAAGAACTCAAAGAGCTATGGCTAAGATATTTGGCATCAAACATGTTCTAATAGGTGTCTACCAAGTTTGTTCAAATAAAAAAAAAAATTTCTTTGAAAAAACCCAAATAGCTAGAGTTAAGATATTAAGCATGAAACATCTTTTAGTGAGTGTCTACAAAGTTTGTCAAATAAAAGACCTGGGGTCAAAATTGGCCCCGCCCGGGGGTCATTGATTTTCTTTATATGTTTATCGCAAAAACTTAAAATCTTCTTTGAAAAACCCAAATAGCTAGAGTTTAGATATTAAGCATGAAACATCTTCTAGTAAGTGTCTACAAAGTTTGTTCAAATAAAAGCCCTGTGGTCAAAACTGGCCCGGCCCCAGGGGTGTCATTGTTTTTAACTATATGTGTATAGTGTAACTTAAAAAAAATCTTCTTTTAAAGAGCCCAATGAGCTAGAGCTTAGATGTTTAGCATGAAACATCTTCTTATGGGTGTCTACCAAGTTTGTGCAAATAAAAGCCCTTGGGTTAAATTGGCCCTGCAACGTTGGGGGGGAGGGGGTGGGGGTTGGGGGGGGGCTATATACAGGTGAGCGACCTCAGGGCCATCATGGCCCTCTTGTATCATAATAATCTCGGGTGACTTGTTTATGTCTCCTGTAAGTCCCCCTTGTTTTGTAATGAGGGAAGTGGTTTTGATGATGAGACTGAGTTGGTAAGCAGACATGCTTTATTATACAACCTCCCTTACCACTACCAAAAAACAACAACCCCCCCCCCCCTTATATTCTTATATTTGTTGTTTACTGTTGAATCCTGAGGACCTGTTATTGTATTAATGCCATTTAGTACCATTGGCCTCCTCTTTCGTGTATAGCTGACAAAACCCCAGATTACTTCTTCTTGATACATATTCAAGGAAAATCATCAAAAGGAAAGTTAATGCACTAGGAAACAAATGATAATCTCTGACATACTATTACAAAAGATTCATATTTTGATATGTTGAAAGATCTCAGGTTTATAGAAATTAAAAGAAAAGAAAAAACAGTTTTGTTTTAACTTCAGGCAATTCAGCCATCCACAGGTGATGTAATCTATGACAGTTTTGATGACACAACGTCTCGTGCTGAACTAGAAACAAGATTGGCCCATATTCAACCTGCTGAATGTATTCTTCCTTCAAATGTTTCCATGGAAACCGAGAAATTATTGAACGGTTTTCAAACTTTATGGTATAAATTTTGTTCTTTTATCAGAATATGTAGCTGTTGAAAACATTTATTTGTATTTGTTTTAATTTGTTTTGAAATGCAAAATGTTCTTATAGTGTTAAATAAATAATTTGTTTTTGTTTGTTTTCTGAATTATGTGCAGTACCAGCATGCATGTACATAAAAAAGTCACAAAATTTATTTTGATAATTTTGTAATTTTGAAAAAAACAAATTTCAGTTTCCATGGCGATGACAAACTGAGGTTAGAGAAGATAGATGCTGATCTGTTCAAGTTTAATTCTGCATTTACAAAAGTGTCACAGTTTTATACAGACAGTTACTCAGATGGTGAGATGTATTTCTTTATTAAAGGAACTCCACTGAGGTCAAAAAGCCTAAAAACATAAAATTAGAAATTCTTACATAAATCAAGTGAAGAACTTTACTGAAAAAAATCTGAAAAGGACATTGAAAAAATTAACTCTGAATTAAATTGTATATTGATTTTGTGTTTGACTTTTTGAATTGCAACGCTGTTCATTTTTTGCGTCATTTTGCACAACATAAAAAGATTATTCTGGAAAAACTGGGTGAGAGAATGATCTGAAAATTTTCACATGAGTTATTTGTCTGGACCTTCATCAGATGATAAACAAATCTCAGAAAATTATTTCCAGGTCTGTCATTTCAAAAAACCTCAGTGGAGTCCCTTTAATACTTATATTATTGCATTTGAAATGAAATCATGCCATACAATAACTGAGACTACAAAAAAGCATGCTTACAGTGTGGACAGTTCTACTCATCTGCTGGTATATGCCTGAAATAATGGACAGAAGAGCACCTGAGCTCTTCCTCTACCAATAAAGCTGGAAAAACGCCTATAACCTATACAGTGTTGGTGTGACATAACACCTTACCAAAGAAAAAACAAACAAAAACAAGGAAATAAAAAAACGTGTATGTTTTGCAGACAGAAAATAAACTAGGCTTTTAATATTAAGTTCTTACTGAAGATAGCATTAGAAATTCTGTTAAGTATAATTAATGTTATTCATAATGACATAAAAAAATATAAGACTTGATAAATACAGCTTTGAGAGAATGTTTAATCCATAAATATGAAACTGATAAAAATTAACTAGGCTTGAAATGTTATTAAAGTTTTTCTGAGTTAGTCAATAAAATGTCTTTTCATGTGTAATGTTCTGTAAATTCTGAAGCAAATACAAGATGGCATCAAATGTTTCAAAAGAAAATTGTTGTTTTATGTTTAATGGACCAAAATAGAATAAAGTGTAAGTTCTGTTATTATGCTTGGAGAAGTAGATATTTATGTCGGTCAGTAAATCTGTCACCCTACTTTCTGTTTCTTTTTAATATGATCCTGAATCTGATGGTTTTCTTGGGATAATTGGACACATAATTTTATTACATTCTTTAGGCAGGTAAAGTTATATACTTAATTTACTTAGTTAAATACTAATTTTATGCTGGTATTTGAACTGCAAAGTTTTTTTCCATTCTTGCTTCCGATCAAGCTCTATAATTTTAGCTGCCCAAAATCTTTATTTTTCACATGATATCCTAAAAATTGGCAATGGACTGTTTCAAAATTGAAGCTTGAAAGTCAATTCAAAAAATGAAGCAGGTTCTAGGTTAGATAAAGTGATTTCATTAAGCCAAATCCCTCCAAAAGATAAATCCAATGTGCTTATGGAGTTTTCATGGCCATCATTTAAATGATGTAGTTGTTGTTTTTCTTGTAGATAAAAATTAAATTTCAAACTATCACATGTTAGATATCTATGTTTTTTCTAGTATATGTTGATGGAACTTGTTTTAAAGTTATTGTTTAAGAGCTGAGGCATTTCAGCAACCTTGCATTGACATAGAAAAAATTCATTGACAAAATCAAGTTCAGATCCAAAAGACTGTAAGTATGTTGCTCGGAAATAAACACTTTAGTTTATACCAATATATTTTAGTTTGATTCTGTTGGTTCAAGCTATAAGCTTATTCAAACACTCTCAAATCCATTTCTGGAACCAACAACTGTACTAAGCAATATGTGTATAGTTTCTTGCTCACAGAAACAACGGCTTGCCCCTGACTGGGTTTGAATCCACACGGTCAGCAATCCTTAGATTACTAGTCTGATGCGTTTAAAACATTTGCCCACGCCGCCACAATAAACACTTAATATTATCTAAGTTTCAGTGTTTGTGGAAAAAAAACTGCTTATAGAAGGTACTCATTGCACACTGGCCATAATCGTACAACAAAAGAAAAAATATCGAAAATTCAGTTTTCTCATATTAAGTTATTTATAAAAAGAAACATGTAGCATGATGAATCAACAAATGAGAGGCATTGTCACATAACCATGTTTGCTACCAATTTTAATTGGTTGAAATCCTTTCAGAATAAAATGTTGGTGGCCTTGTGCACAGAAGTGCATCCCTCTAGTTGAAATATTAAGAGGATATTTTTTCGTTTAAGTGAAATATGGTACAGTCAGGACTCAATACATCGGAATCCATTATACTGACAAATTCAAATAACGACAGGGAATTGGTGGGAACCAAATTTTTTTCAACGTTATTATAATCCTTTATAACGGAAAATTCGTATTCCGACTCCGACACAATAAAATTGGAAACCAAACATGTTATTTTCTATACAATCAGTACCCGTTAAACTGACACTTGGTCAGTCAAGCGCGCGTATAAAACAAAAGCCGCAAGGTGTTAAAACAGGTATTGTAGCTTGGTCAGTTGATTGTTACACCTTATTACAATACCAACGTGTTGTTGTCTGCTGAATTTTGTTTCACTTGTCAACTTATGACAACAAACAGTGTGCAATCAATTTTTAAAGGTTTAACTTTTAAAAGTCTTATGATTGTTTTATCATTTTCATAAAAATCTTGAATTATTTAAGTTGTTATTATTTTAATGAAGTATTTGTATTATGTGTTTGATATGTAATGTGTGTAATGAAGTGAACACATAAACACAAAAATCTTTTTCATTAGATGTTTTTTATAGATCTTAATACATAATGTTCAGATACCAGTGAATAAGCATATCATTTCATGATGAATGATGAAATTCACTATACTGACAAATTCGATATACTGACATATCCTTTGGGAACTAACAGTGTCGTTGTAATGAGTCCTGACTGTATATATTTTCACGAAACATGATAAAATGCCACATATTTATTCGAGCTGGGAATGCCATATTTCATGAAAAACGAAAAAATAACCTTTTTATTTAATTTCAATATCAAAGAAAAATGGCTACGAACCCCATTGCTGGCTACGCAACTGCAATTGTACAGAGTGCAGTAATATATTATTGCGTCTTGTTTTGCATGTGATATTTGGCGGTACATTGTGACATCACGTAAACAACTCTGTAAACGTCTGTACAGCGTTGACAACTGAATTAAAGATATTGGTGTTCGGATTTGTTTTCTTAGTTAGACCATTTTCTATCATTCTAGATAGTTTTCGAAACAAAATTCAACAAAAAGTTGTTTTGTATTTATAAGATTTTTCAAACAAAATGGCAAAAGAAGTCCGTTAAAATAAATATGAGTTTTGACTCCGCCCACTTTCATATTTATATTTCATATTTATTTAAAAAAAAATATGAAACATATTTGACTGATATAGCACCATATATAATTGGTAAAATTAAATAATAAAATGAAATTTAAACTGTTAAAAAGAAAACTTTCTTAACTACAGAATATTATGTTGCTTAGATGTCAATGATTCAGACAGTAGATGTCACATGGTGATAAGACGTCACTATGTCAAATATTTCATACTTCATTGCTTCAGCTTTAGTCTTGAAGTTCTTGTTGAAACATGAAAACAGCTTGAAAGCTTCCATTTGACTCTCTTTGAACCACATAACATATAGAAATGGGTTTATAAAACAGTTGATAGCGGACACAACTTCCAGAGATGTACGTATACTCCTCACGTCAAGGTTCATGTACCTTATATACAATATGATGATTGCATATACAAATGATGTAACAAATATGACAAGAATGTATACAAGAACTAGAGTGGTGGACTTGTAGCTTCGTAAAAATGAAGCCATCATTGTAAATGAAACTTTCTTTCTTTCATAATCTGCCAACTGCCGTTTCACCATGTTGAATATGCTCCAGTAACACAGCATAGATATACTTAGTGATAAGACAACCAATGTTAAGTAGTAGACTGTCACAATTCTGTTGCAAAGTCCTGCTTGATCAAAAACTTTGCGAGATTCAAACTTCACGTAACATGCTCCATATCTTACAATTTGAAAAACTGTTACCGTAGCAACCCAAATTGTTATAGTAGACAATCTGAGATACGATGGTGTACATTTTGTGATGTACTTCATCGGTTTAAAGAACATAAAAAAGCGCTCGATGGACATAAATGTTATGGTAACATAACCCAGTTGTAACAGTGTCGTGGACAGTACTTGGAGAGTTGTGTTAAAAAGAGGTTCTTGTATAAATTTTCTAACTGTAATAACTGTCATATACAATGAATCAAAGCACAGAAGTCCAGCAGACAGGAACTTTGCAGCATGTGGAATTCTTCTTGTCCGCTTTAACACTGTAAGAGAAACACAGCTGCAGAACAGTGATGTTATACACACACATACTAACAAAACTTTGACATGATTTGGTGTATATTCAATGAACAAACTTTCCTCATATGATAATTCCTCATTAGTTTTATTATCCAGCTCGGCTGCTCTTGGATGTGTTTTATTTTTATTTTCTAAGTCCATTATTTTCATAAGAATGTGTTCTTGAATATTGCTAAGTTGATCGGTGATGATTAAAATGTGAATATCCTTTGGTATTATTACATATCCATTATTCTGTGTTGTTTTTCTTGTGAATCCATTTATGTGTTATTTATTAAAAAAATCTAATTATGTAAGACTTTATTTTGAATTTTTTAGTAACTTTAAAGGTGCTGATATTCTTTTGATAAGTTGAAGTAATCCTGCTCATAAATCTGATATCACTTATGACAAAAATGAATTGTGAATAGTTGACCTTTATTAAAGAAGTAATTAATGGTACCTTGGAAATACTATATTTGAAGAAGTTGTTTTAGAACATATATTTTCTAGAAGAGTTTATTTTCAGTATTTAAAGCGACACCTTCACAAATCTAAGATAAACTAATATGACTTGTATAAAATTATACCCACCAGTAGTCTGCCATTTACAATTCTAAGTTTATGGGGCACAGGAATTTTTGTTTCCAAAGATAATTTCTTAGATAAAAAATGACCCTTTCTGGAAAAATCTTCATTTAAAAGTGAAGTTTTACTTTATTTTAGTTACACAAAAGAAAAAAAATTCTACAATTTATATTATATATATATTTTAATATTTAAATAAGATAGTAAATATTTAATTTTCTAATTGATTTTTGGCTAAAAACACTCAATACCTTTCAAACTGATAAACATACACACCAAAAATGATTACCTGTGTGGGAGTGACAAGGTGTTTGAAATTGACTAGGTGTTTAAATTGACTTGGTGTTTGAAATTGACTAGGTGTTTGAAATCGACTTGGTGTTTGAAATTGACTAGATGTTTGAAATTGACTAGGTGTACGTTTGAAATCGACTTGGTGTTTGAAATTGACTAGGTGTTTGAAATTGACTAGATGTTTGAAATCAACTAGGTGTTTGAAATTGACTAGGTGTTTGAAATCAACTAGATGTTTGAAATTAACTGAGTAGGTGTTTGAAAGTTTCCCTTTGATTATAAGTGTGATTATAAATACTGCTGTGAAAAATTAAAAAAAACTTAAGAATTTTTTTTTCAATAAATAGGATTTAAAATTTTACAACATGTGTGAGAGATAAGCTTTAATGCTTGTTGTAGATATAGGAGAATCAGCACAGCTTGCTGTATTAAATCTGCTCTTCAATAAAAGGTGTGTCTGTAGTTCAAGGTAATCATGTAGAAAATATTTTTAAGCATAATTACTTAACCAGCATTTTCACAAATAACCTGTAGTGTAAAGTTCAGAAAAGGTGAAATTTCTCCTGTATTTATGAAAGAAGCTCAGACATAAGGTAATTTAAAAGTCACAAGAAAAAAAAAGAGTGCATTTAGAGGTGAAAAAATAACAGATAATATATTGGGAGTGCAAGACATTTTCTTTTACATATTTACTTTTTCTCTGAGCCATTGTCTGTAAACAGTTTTGTCTTACTGACTTGACTAAAGTGACTCCCGTGAATTCATCTTTAATTTCCATATGGTTTCCATTTAATGCCCACTCTAATAAGCCCTCCCCGAACGAAATTTTTTTTATCTTACAGTTTTATAATCTGGAATAAAAGAGCAATGCAAAAAAATCAAAAGTATTTTTATTTAAAAAATTATAAATGACACTCCAGTAATTTAAAATCATTAAAGCAATAAGTTAATTTTTTAATTAATGTTTGATTATGATACAAAAGAGAAAGAACACAAAACACTCGGCAATCTGATTTGTACTCGGGGGCTGTGACGCCCCCTCGTACAATCAGATAGCCTTGTGTTTCGGTGCTCGTTCTATTACTTAAAGCACATTTTTATCATTCTAATTAGCACCTCCTCAATTATAATATACATCAATGTGCATGTGGAGAATTAATGTAGTTGCACAATTACATCAGAAGTAAATATTATGAAGTAAAAAGTTTGTACTTTTCAAGAATTGAAACATAACTACAGATAATCTTAAGATGGTTTCTTCATTTTGTTAGTTAATCAGCTAATAAAAATTGTTAATTGTTGTTCTATTTGTATATTGATTATTGAGATGTCATTGAAAAAAGCATGAAATTCACAATTAATAGCAGATATAATGTTTTAGTAAGGGGTTCAATGATGCAGTGGAAACCTTTGTTATGATATATTGAAATACAGGCAAGCCTACATATAGGCCACTCTTATTGCACATTGTGATATATAGATTTATATGAAATTCAATAAACAGTCAAACCTGTGAAAAAAGGTCATCAAATTGAGAGACCAAACATGGCCTTTAAAGACATGTGGGCTTTATTTGAGGTTTCTTTGTTCTTTTTAATCAGTGGAAAAATCAAAGAGTGGCCTTTTTTAGCTCGACTATTCGATAAGAATAAGTAGAGCTATTGTAGTCACCCGAGCGTTGGCGTCGGCGTAACCACTTATGTTAAAGTTTTTTTGTAATAGTTTAAATATTTTCAAAGTCCATTGACATATGGCTTTGAAACTTTGCACACTTGTTCACCATCATGACCCCAACCTGTAGACAGGAGGAGGTAACTCTATCAAGCATTTTGACAGAATTATGCCCCTTTTTCAACTTAGAATTTAAGTTAAAGTTTTTGTAATAGTTCAAATATTTTCAAAGTCCATTGACATGATGGCTTTGAAACTTTGCACACTTGTTCATCATCATGACCCCAACCTGTAGACAGGAGGACGTAACTCTATCAAGCATTTTGACAAAATCATGCCCCTTTTTCGACTTAGAATTTAAGTTAAAGTTTTTGTAATAGTAAGGAGGTAACTGTATCAAGCATTTTTTTTTACTATCAAGCACTAAGAACAGTGGAGCGTTGCTGTCCTACTGACAGCTCTTGTTAAAGAAAAAAAGTGGAGTTATTTATTGTTTTGACCCACTCCTGAGTATCAGCATCTGCAGTGGTTTACCTCTTTGGTTAATTTTCATTTATAGTCATTAACCAGGGCTTCCGTTAATGGAAGTTTGGGAGTCATTTACTCCTTGATTTTGGCTTGTGACTTCCAAATCTAATACTTTTCCTTCTTTACCTATATAATGTGACTTCCAATATCGGAGATAAAGCCCATCAGAATTTGTTCAGACATTAGTATGTAGTATCTCCCTTTCAGATTCCAGCCAGTTACAGACAGTGATTAATCTACCTCCATGTGTTATTTCTTGTTTGGCTGCCCTAATTGTTTATATGGAAGATTTTAAACTTGACAAAATACTCAGGGAAGTGAGGTATGTATAATGTAGTTAATTGATTTAACCAATTTGTCTGATCATCTTGTTAGAGATCTGTAACATAACCCATAGTCAACTCAATTTGTGTCTTGGACTTTAAAAGGTTTTGTTAAAATGACAGCCTAAATTAGAGGATTTTTGACAGCCTTTTACAGGTTCTTTGAAAGATGGAAATGGAAATATATATGTATATATATTTTTTAGCTCACCTGAGCTAGCTCAGGATCGTTAAATGTCCGTCGTCCGTCCACACTTGTTTGTTTACACTCTAGTGGTCACATTTTTGCCTCAATCATCAAGCTTTGTCAAAATGCTTATCCAGTTGATAGCTCGTATGAGTTCGAACATGGGTCATCTCTGATGAAAAACTAGGTCACAGGAGCTAGAAAAACCTTGTTAACACTCTAGCGGTCACATTTTTGCCTCAATCATCATAAAACTTGGTCAGGATGCTTATCTAGTTGATAGCTCGGAAGAGTTTGAACATGGGTCATCTCAGATGAAAAACTAGGTCACCGGAGCTAAAAATAGAAAAACCTTGGTCACATTTTTTTACTTAATTATCATCAAACTTGGTCAGGATGCTTGTTTAGGTCATTGCTCGGATGAGTTTGATCATGGGTCATCTCGGATGAAAACTAGGTCACCAGAGCAAAAAATAGAAAAATCTTATTAACACTCCAGTGGCTACTGTTTTCATCCAAATATCCTGTAAATTGGTCTGAAAGTTTGTTTTGATGATTTCTAGGTCAAGTTCGAACATGGGTTATCTCGGATGAAAAACTAGATCACATCCCCCAAATATGGAAAAACTTTGTTAACACTCTAGTGGTCACATTTTTGACTCAATTTTCATCAAACTTGGTCTGGATGCTTGTCTAGGTAATTGCTCAGAATAGTTAGAACATGGGTCATCTCGCATGAAGAACTAGGTTATCGGAGCTAAAAATAGAAAAATCTTGTTAACACTCTAGTGGCTACTGTTTTGATCCAAGTATCCTGTAAATTGTTTTGAAAGTTTGTTTTGATGATTTCTAGGTCAAGTTCGAATATGGGACACCTGGGTAAAAAACTAGGTCACACTGCTCAAATATGGATAATCGTTAAATGTTAACACTCTAGTGGTCACAATTTTGACTCACCTGTCATGAAACTTGGTCAGAATGCTTGTCTAGGTAATTGTTCTGATGAGTTCGATGGGTCAGACATCAAAATCTGTATAAACTTATCATACAACCTGATTCTCAACTTATTAACCCAAAGTGAAAAAGGTTCTGAAAATCTTAATGTTATTTCCCTTGGTACAATTTATATCAAATTATGTTTATTTTTGTTATTTGCAGGGTCAATTTTTGTTTTAACAATGTTAATGTGAATCTTTCAGCAATTTCACACAGTTTTCTACAAAGTCTACCTATATGCATATTGACAGTCATACTGTAAGGAATCTAGAGTTATTTCAAAATATTACCAATCATGGAGAGCATGGTTCCCTGTTCTGGGTAATAAATCAAACAGTTACACCATCTGGTTCCAGGCTGCTAAAGTCCTGGCTCTCCAGACCTTTAATGTCATACAGGTCAGTGTAAAAGTTGTTTTCCTTTATCAAATTCTTTAAATATATCATTTTCTTTAAATATTTGATTTTACTCAGTTTTCATTTACAATCCAAGTTAGTTTAGGAAAGTTAAAGATTTACTTGGAGGAATAAGGATAATTTCTAGGATACATTGTAATTGTCCCCCGTCCATGAAATGGAAACGGATACATTTGAATGACGTCTGTTGTTTTGTTTAAGGTCCATAGAAACTGATGGGTAAGATTTTTATTATGAAAAGTGGTATAAATGTGTAAACATGCAATAAAGAAATAAGGCTCACCAATTATCAACTTAACCACCTATGAGTAAGTACCCAGCCACAAATAGAGCACAATTCAAGTATATTATAAGTATATTTGAAGCCCTCTGGTAAAGTATATAAGAAGCTTGGTTGCAGTCCCTGCTTCATATGTGCTTTCATCTATTCGATGGAAATGCTAATGGCAAACACATAGGTGAAGCTCCTTTGAAGCCCGTTCGAATTATGCTAATTAGGCTTCAACCGTACTCCTTTAAAGTATCTTTGGATAGCCCTTGAGAAGTACATTTGAAGCCCATAAAGAAGTACAGATGAAGTCTCAGTTAGGAAGCATACCTGAAGCTTCTCTTTGAAGCACACATGAAGCATATTGATGAAGTACAAATAAAGTCCCAGTGAAAAAAGTACTATTGAAGCCCCACTACAAAACTTAAAAGCTCCAAAATCAGTTAACATTTTTAGATTTCTCTTGAATCTTTAAACTTAATGGATTAATTACAATTAAGGTTTTACAGACATCAGGAAATCACAAAATCTCACCTGAGCACTTTTTGTTCAGGTGAGCATTACAGTATCAACTTTCAACTGATAAACAATAATAATTCATTAAATGTTACATCAAAGAAATTTATTCAGTCATTTCACCCTCATTAACAAATACGGTTTCATGCATAAAGGTATAACACTATAAAACATCTTATGAGCGTAACATCAATTAAATTTCAATTTATACATGTCCTTCACTTTCAGTCTTTTCCAAACAGATTCACTGGCACAATGCTGGTTTGCAGATTTTATATGATGGGAATACCTATTCTGCATCCTGAAAAAAAAATATTTTAAAATGATTTTTTATTATGTATATATGCACATATGTTCTAGATTGGTAATCATGCAGCTTTAAAAAAAACATAACACAAAAACAAATTATCTGGAAAAAAAGTTTGCAAATGTATTAAAATTAAATTTTTCAACTTAAACAAGTACAAAAATTGCCAGGAAAACAACTCACAGTGTATTTTGTTACTTTTGGGGTCATAATCATCTAAGGATAGCCCTGGGTCAGATAATGAGTGGCAATGCTTAATTATTCACTTACTTAATGGTTAAATATTCATTCTTTGATATAACTACATCAAATTCTTCAAATGCCAGTTTCAAATTTTTGTATCACAATTCTCACCAGTGAAAGCTTTAGGTGCATAAAGCAATAGACATTAAACATGATAAAATCAACTAGGTATCTTACATTTGTGAGTAAATCTAAATTTATTCAAGTCATAATAAGCCTATTTGAATAAAGCAAACTAAATTACCAAGTAAGTTCTGTATTCTTTTGTATCCTTTTCTTCTTTCATTTTCAAACTTCTCACTGAATTTTGGAGAATTTGGTCTAGAAAATAGATATACACATCTATATAATTATTAAAATACAATATACATGTATAAAGGTAATCTTATTAAATGTTAAATCAGTCATATGTTCTTTTAATATGGAATGCATTTAGATATAAATATACAAAAGGAATAGGAAATAATTTCAAAATTTCCTGCCATACAATTGTATCATAATTTAAGACTATAAAAATTTAAATATTTGAATCTGATCTTATCATTTTAGAGCTTATAACTTGATATTTTTTAAGGAAAACCAAATCTTAAAAAAGTTCATTTTGCATTTAGTTAATTTTATTGTATATTGAATTTCAAATATTAATATAGTTCAAATTACTTTCCAAAAATTTTTTCCATAGAATTGCTTATCAATTTGCCTCCATTTTTAACAGGAACTTTAAGTACACATTTGCTGCCCCATTATACATGTTAATATAGTTTCAGAAAATTGTTGTAAACCTGTATTAGTTGAAATCATTTCAACTAAATAACAATATTAATCACATTTAACTTATGCACTCATAATAACATATCTTAAAACTTGTAAGCAGATCCAGACATTCAAACACTTCTGTATAAATTGCCAGGATGAAGATTTGTTCTGGGTATTAGGTTACATGTAGCTAGAGTATTGTAAACTTGCTTTATCACTCACTATTCTCATGTATCAGATAGGTCAGCTTAACATGGGGTATTTGAAAACTGTTGGAAGGGGGTCATAATTTCCACTTGAGGGATCACAGATGTTTGTGATAAGAATATTTGTGTGGAAGAAAACAGTGGTAGATTTACAGAAGGGTGCAGAATAATTGCACTCATGTAATTGAAATCTTTGAGCATCTTTGAACTATGTTTAAATATTCATGAAGAAAAATATCTTTTTAATTCTTCTTTTTTATGTTAAGCAGATACTGATGATACCTGTTAATTACAATATATTTAGATGATTCATATGCAATAATAATTTTTAGGAAGTAGTTTTTAATGTCAAAACTGGCTCTGAATTGGTATAATTGACTACATAATGAATCATATATTTTTGATGGAATTTAATGAATATATATATCACCACCATGGTCTGTAGAATGTTAGATCCTTATCAAACTAAAATATAGATTTTACTCAGTTATTTTCTTTTATATACATGCATTTTCATTGACTTTATGAATTAATTTCCAAGCTGATAATCATATCAGGGAACTACAAAAATACAAGTTTTAAAAGCATTTTTGAAGCCCCCTCAAAACAAGTCCTGCATTGCTAAGTTTCAAAAGCACAACTTAAGTACACATTTTGTATCAAAATAACTTTCAAACAAACAGCCAAAGTCTGAGAAGTAGCAAATAAGTCTCTAGTACAAAATACTATCAAAATGAAGCACTTAAAAAGCCCTGGTGCTTCAACTGAAGCACACATTCACAAATTCAGAAGCTCATTAGAAGCTGGATGGGGCTTCAGATGAAGTACAGCTGCAGTTGAAGCAAGTACACTTGAAGTCCCTAGTACTTCAACTGAAGCGCAGACCTGTGCTAGTTATAAAAGTTCTATTGAAGTCCAAAAAAAGCATATTAAAAGTAGGGGACTCTTGTGAAGTGGGGGGCTGCTTTTGTGGCTGGGTAAGTAACAGCCCTGTGTTACTGCATAGTGAAATTTCTGCTAGAGCAATATGTTAACTTATCTAGCAGAGTTATCTACCATTAATAAGATCCACCATTTGTACTACAACATTTAGAATTTTGATGTTCTGATAAATCTCTTAATAAAAATATATGGTTAACAACGCAACTATAATGTTTTAGATTTTAGATATTAAAAATGTGAACATCATGTGCAACTAACAAGTATCATTGCCAAATAAATCAATATTAATACATAATGATTATGTTTAATAATGTGCTGCGCCGCATTCTGGTTTGCTTTAAGTGTCATTAAAAATAATGATGCAAAACTCATTTTCACTCGTTTTCTTAGGAGCTTTAAATGAAGTGTAGGGAATTTTAATTCAATGAAGTAAATTATTCACCCTGATTTTACATTGATGCAAAAAGGAAAACTGAGATTTTCTGTACATTTTAAGATTTTTTTATCCTTGCTTATTTCACAGACTTTCAACATAAATTTATTATTATAAAAATAAGTTCACTACAGTATTAGTTTTGCTTAAAAATATTAAATTTGAACTCTGGGCTTTTTCTTCTGGCAGCACCCTTGCTGTACCATTGTTTTTAGCTCACCTGTCACAAAGTGACAGGGTGAGCTTTTGTGATCGCTTTTCGTCCGTCGTCCGTAAACTTTTACTTTAAATGACATCTCCTCATAAACCACTAAGCCAATTTCATCCAAACTTCACAGGAATGTTCCTTTGGTGGTCACCTTTAAAAAATGTTCAAAGAATTTAATTCCATGCAGAACTCTGGTTGCCATGGCAACCAAAAGAAAAAAACTTTAAATATCTTTTAAAAAACCCTAAGAGCTAGAGCTTAGATATTTGGCATGAAACATCTTCTAGTCAGTTTCTACCAAGTTTGTTCAAATAAAATCCCTAGGGTCAAAATTGGCCCCGCCCCAGGGGGTCATTGATTTTCCCTATATGCATATAGTAAAAACTTAAAACATCTTCTTTTAAAGAACCCAAAGAGCTAGAGCTAAGATATTCAGCATGAAACATCTTCTAATGAGTGTCTACCAAGTTTGTTCAAATAAAAGCCCTAGCGTCAAAATTGGCCCCGCCCCAGGGGGTCATTGATTTTCCATATATGTATATATAGTAAAAACTTAAAAAATCTTCTTTTAAAGAACTCAAAGAGCTAGAGCTAAGATATTCAGCATGAAACATCTTCTAATGGGTGTCTACCAAGTTTGTTCAAATACAAGCTCTGGGGTCAAAATTGGCCCCGCCCCGGGGGGTCATTGATTTTCCTTATATGTGTATAGAAAAAACTTAAATAATCTTCTTTGAAAGAACCCAAATAGCTAGAGTTTAGATATTAAGCATGAAACATCTTCTAGTGAGTGTCTACAAAGTTTGTTCAAATAATAGCCCTGGGGTCAAAATTGGCCCCGCCCCGGGGGGGGTCATTGATTTTCCCTATATGCATATAGTAAAAACTTAAAAAATCTCCTTTGAAAAAACCCAAATAGCTAGAGTTAAGATATTAAGCATGAAACATCTTCTAGTAAGTGTCTACAAAGTTTGTTCAAATAAAAGCCCTGGGGTCAAAACTGGCCCCGCCCCAGGGTATGAGATCATTGTTTTTCATTACATGTGTGTAGTAAAAACTTAACATTGTGAAACATCTTCTAATGAGTGTCTTCCAAGTTTGTTCAAATAAAAGCCCTGGCATTTAAACTGGCCCTGCTCCTTGGGCCTATATACAGGTGAGCAACCTCAGGGCCATCATGGCCCTCTTGTTTGGTTTTAACTCATATACTTTAATATGAAAAAGGCAAAGCCTCAAAGCGAGCTTGATTTACTTTTACTGTTTCCATCTTAAACTGTCATTCTGTATTTGATTCACTGCTTCCATGTATTCTGGTTCCTTGTCCAATTATGGTTCCCATAAAAGTGCGCAGAACACCAGTCTACGCTTCCGTTTTCAATCAGAATTCCTCGGCTTTTATTGTTACATTGTAATTCGAAAAGTTGCAATGTGTCAAGTCGGTACTTCAAACGAAAGTTTTCAAAACCATCACTATCTAGCAGGTACTGGAATTTCCTTAAAACTCGCTTTGCGAGCAGGCACTTCGTGACAGCTTTTACGAGCTGGCTATAATAGTTTTGTTGAGATTGAAAGATGGACTCGTCCATTTAATAAATATAGCATGATAATGGTTTGAACATACATTATAGATACACAAATGTAATTATTCATTTAACTATTCATGAATAAAGGTGATATTGTTATATTATCAGTGACATACAGAAACGACAGGAAGCTGTGTCTGACATCATTGACGGACATTTTCCAGATATTCAGAAACTCAAAGCCTTATTGTCAAGGTTACCAGATTTAGAGAGACGCCTAGCATCTACATATCATAAAAAGGTACAAATGTTTAACTTATCATAGGGGCCATATTCTGGTTAGCTCAGTAGGTAGAGCATTGGATTGTGTGGGCAATCAGGGTATGATTTCGGACAGTGCAGGTCATTTTCATTGTGATTGATCATGAAATCCTTTCTACGGTCATTCACATTGTATCTCTGCACTGGCATGTACAGAAGTAATCAGTTCCTTGTCAAAGTGAAGGCACTTAAGTACTGGTAAACTGCTTTACAGCTTACCCAGGAATGAGGAAATGGGTGAACTGTGCTCAGGTAAATTTTATGTGCCTAACTTTCATGATCCAAAGTGAAAACTACCAACACAACCACCTTTTGATTTGGTTGCCAGCTAGCATAGCTCAATCGGTTTAGAGCGCAAGACTTGTAATCTCGATATTCCACTACTTATCATAGGGTAAAGTTTTGAATAATGACTTTATTTGAAATATAACCTTGACAGTTTAAGTATGACTTACTTAACACATTAGAAATATGCAAAAATATGATGTACTGTGTAATTTTAGGTTTCAGATAAATGTCTGTTGTTGAGTTCAGTGATTTGTGAATTTTCCAGAGAGTAAAAACTAAAGAAATCTTCTTTTAAAAAACCCAAATAGCCAGAGATTGGATATTAAGCTTGAAAATTCTTCTAATGTTTGTCTACAAACTTGGCAAGTTTGTTCAAATAAAAGCTCTGTGGTCAATTTGGCCCCACCCATGGGGGTTATTGAATTTCCTTATATGAATATTGCAAAAACTTAAAAAATCTTCTTAGATATTTAGCATGAAACATCTTCTAGTGAGCATCTACCAAGTTTGTTTAAATAAAACCTGGGGTCAAAATTGGCCCCGCCCTGAGGGCTCATTGATTTTCCTTAGATACACACATCTTTTGGAACTGTTATTTTCCCTTAACAGTAGCAACCAGTAATGTTTTTATACATGCATTTATGAGCTTTGTGATGTCAGTTTAAGATTTAGATTTTATATCTGCTTTTGTTTATAGTTTACAATATTACTTGTTCCTTGTCATGGAGTGTTTCTATATTCAGGTGAGGGATTTCAGGTTCATCATGGCCCTCTTGTTTCTTATTTTTTTCAGTGTAGTCCATCAGAATTTTATAGCCTGTGTGAAGCTTTAGTGATCCTCCATGACAGGTTTATACATCACAAAGAGACCACTTTCTGTCACATGTCCTCCAAGTTGCTCCTTGAAATCATAGAAGAAACCCCAAACTTGTTATCTGATGTGAAAGAAATAGTAGATATGATAGATGGAAAAGCAGCAAGGTATGATGTTTTAAATAGACTTCAAGCTTGTTAAGTCACTGGAAAGTCATGATTAAAAAAATGATTTTTCTGTATATGACTGGTACAAACCAGTGTGAGTTTATTTTTATACCTCCCTACACAAAGAAAGTTGTAATTGAATTTTCCTAAAATTGGCTTTATAATCTTTGTTTTGAACAACTTTATTTGATTCATTATTGGACATAACAGTAAACACTTTGGACAAAACCTTCATGTGATGTCACTAAAGTATTACCTTTACCATTAATTATCCTTGACCCTCAGGACAAATATGAAAATTTATTTGAATTTTGGAAAATTTTGTTAAACATGCACAAATATGATAAATATTTGGAGCCAATGACACATTAGACATCATCATCATGCTGTCTGTAGTGAATTTGATTTGAAGCAGCATGCCTAAGATTCATGCTGATTTTCATGAACATTTTGAAAGTGTATTTAAAAGTAAAAAAATGTGAAATAATTGAACAGAACCGAACATAATCTTTATTTGAGAGGCACAGATTACAAGGTGACATTTTGTAATTACATGTGTACAAATATATATCAATATTACACACTTTAATTTACACATTGAAACTGGCACTTACAATCAATGTTAATTAACAAGTAAAAGTTAAAAATATGCAAAGATAGCCCTTGTTGCGTTTGTAATGCTATAGAAATATTGTGATAAATACTGTAACATCAGTCAGTCATCACGCATAACATGTAAAATAAATATTTCAACATTAAATCTTTTTATTTTACTTAAAACCTTAGTGCATTTTTTATCAACTTTGATTTCCTTGAAATATTTTGCCCATCTGGAGGCATGCAGCTTAAAATAGTAAATGATCTTAGAGCATTTTTTTTACATTATGAAATTTTTTACAACTTGAATAAAGTGTTTGGTTTATATTTTAAAATAAATACAATTCAGGACTAAATTTTCAAATTTAGTTATTCAAAATATGACCTTGACCCTTAAAAGACTTTCATCCACAAAGGCCTTAATCAGTGTTTTTGCATTTAATACAAATGTACAGCATTGAATTATTCTTTTAATTTCCACCAGTGCAAATGCTCTTATTTGAAATTGTTTTTATGCCTCTGTACTCATATGGGGTCCCAATATATATTAATAAATTCTGTTTTACCAATATCTAAGCCAGAATTATAAAGGAACAATAACTTCCCCTCAGTTCAAGTTTGGTTAATGGGAATTAGCTTAACTATCAATTGAAAATCAAGTGCCTTTCATAGAAAACATTTTTCTTCTTCAAATTTTGTTTCTTCTTCAAATTTTCACTTAACAACAACATGCAAAAATTATGTACAACTGAATATTCTCTTTTGTTTGATGATGACAGGGAAAATGATAAAACTAAACTATTTGCTGACAACTCCTCGTTCCCTGATGTTTTTGAGTGTAAGGAAAAGATAACTGAGGTCACCAAGGAGATTGGGGAACACCGCCGGCAAGTTCGTCTCACTTTACGTCAACCAGCACTGGAATATTGTACAGTTCTTGGAACAGAGGTAAATACTCAAAATTTAAATTTAACTGATATATCATACATACAGTCTTTATATACATAGAAACTCTGGGGAAACTTTGTAGCCCCATGCTGTTCGTTTGTAATGTATATTATCATTGCACATTCAGAATAATTATATCAATGCAAAAGCATGGCTGCTTCAAATTTATGAACACATTTATTTATTTAAAAAAAAAAAGGGAATTGCTGTTTTAGATTTTTAGGCCCCAGGCACAAAATGGTGTGGGTAGGGGAAGTAGTGTTACCTTTGTGTTAGTGTCTGTTTGTCTTTGAAAAAGTATGTACTTTGTGTTTGGTCCATAACTTCTGTATGTATGATGATATTTTGAAATAAATTGATACACATGACCGCCATATGTAAATGTGTTGCCTTTAATTTGCAAAGGTCAAATCCTGTATGACCTACATGTATAACTTTGTTATTACTTATGTATAATTGAAATATTTGGGGTATGCCTTTGCCATAGTCATTGTATTTTGTGCAATATGCATGCTCAAAACCTTCAAGGTCAAGGTTACAGTTAGAGGTTCAAGGCATGCAAGCTTTCTATTAGGTTTTTAATTTTTTTATTTTGTCAATCGTCAAAACATTTGACATTTTCAAAACAGTTGAAATTATGTCCCTGTTGTTGATTGTTTAATTTTTCATGGTTAATAGAGCAATACTCTTCTTTATCACATAAACCGTGGCACAGGAGTGTAATAAAGCCATTTAATAAAAATGGTTTTACACTAGTGTAATAACACTTTGACGTGAAGTCATTTGCACTATATATAAACATAGCTTTAAAGTGTGATAATTTAAGCGTTACACTATAGGCGCATCAATGAAAAATGGCTATTTTTAACAGTTTACCATTCTTATTTTATATATGTGATAAATAGAATATTATATTTGTGTAGATTCAATACTAAATTTATTGAATTTGATGCATAAAACAATATTATGCTCGCCAGAGGCTTTTATAAAATGATTTCATTCAACTGGTTCAATAAATTAAGTATTAAACCTAAACTCATTCTATATCCTCTATGTATACAACTTGGCAACATCAATTAAGGGACTTCAAGTTTTCAAGCAATAAACATTGCAGAAAATCTGAATTTTTGACAATATCTTCTTACCTTAATAAAGTGATATATTGCATTTCTGATTTGATAAATTTTTATAGTCGTATTTTTTATTGCAGTTCCTTGTTGAAGTTAAGAACAGTAATATATCATTAGTACCAAAAGACTGGACAAAGATAAGTAGGTAAGAATAAGTTACCAGTTTTGGTCTTTTAAGGAATGTAAATAATTATTTAAGGCATGTTACTATGTTAACATTTGTTTCTGTTAATGAGAGGTTAAAAACAGGAGACATTGTTACAAGTACTGCAAAATAAAAATTATTTGTTAGGAACTAACTTTTGTGGTTTTCTCAGATAAGTCAATCTACAAATTTCAGGTCCAAGGAAATTTCATTTCATCTGCTGTAAGATTATTTTGCATTGCATTATTTACATTTTACCTTTAGGAAAAATAAACAGTCCACAAATTTAAGAAATCCACAAAATTTCATGCCCAAATAATGAAATGAATTCACAGTACATGTTAATGCATATTTCTACAGCTTATTTACAAGCAGAGATATATGGTGTACACATGCTGTATGCAAGATCACATTTATAATTCTTTCAGTACAAAGACTGTGAGCAGATTTCACACACCATATATAGTGGAGAAATACAAACTACTACAGCAATATAGAGAAAAACTTGTGTTAGCATCAAACAGTGCTTGGATACAGTTCTTAGAGTATATTATTTTCTTAATTGTTTTAATTTTTGGTGAGGGCAAGCTGTCAAATAAACCAAGGTAGAAACAATAAGAAATAGTAAAAAAAAAAGTTGAGCATTGCCCCTGCCCGTTTGTGGCTCTTGTTATAGATATGTGATAAATAGAATATTGTATTTGTATAGATTCAAAACTAAATTTATTGATCTTGATGAATAAAACAATAGTATTGCTTGCTAGAGGCTTGTATAATTTAAATTTATTCAACTCTTCACTAAATTAAGTATTAAATCTACACTAATTTACTATCCTCTATTTATAATATGTTATGATATTTCTGTAGATGCTTTTATGATATCAAAACAATATTTGATATAAATTGATATATAATAGCTTGTATTAAAATACATGCAATTAGAGCTGTCATTGATAGAGACAATATCGATGTATCATTGATATTTTTCTGTTGATCAATAATTGATACACATTTGAAAAAATTGATCAATAATTGATACACATTTGAAAAAGTTGATCAATAATTGATACACATTTGAAAAAGTTGATCAATAATTGATACACATTTGAAAAAGTTGATCAATAATTGATACACATTTGAAAAAAAAACTAAAATTTTCATTAATTATTTTAATGTCTATTAATTATGAAAATTCACCCAAAACATAAACAAAAGAAGGCAGCTATGTCTGTTAACTAAGCTGTTGTTACATAATTGACATATTTCATAGCCGTGATGACAAAAAAGTGGTTAGGAAATAATCATGCATAGGACATTTATAGACAGACAACAACATATTTGTATGAACAGAACATGTTTTACCTTATCATTTAAATAGGTATAAAAGTGAATTATATACAAGAAATTAGGAGTATATCTATGAATCGTCAAAATTGGCCCCGCCCTGGGGGGTCATTGATTTTCCTTATATGTGTATAGCAAAAACTTAAATAATCTTCTTTGAAAAAACCCAAATAGCTAGAGTTTAGATATAAAGCATGAAACATCTTCTAGTGAGTGTCTACAAAACTTGTTCAAATAAAACCACTGGGTCAAAATTGGCCCCGCCCCGGGGGGTCTTGATTTTCCCTATATGCATATAGTAAAAGCTTAAAAAATCTTCTTTGAAAAAAGCTAAATAGCTAGAGTTCAGATATTAAGCATGAAACATCTTCTAGTAAATGTCTACAAAGTTTGTTCAAATAAAAGCCCTGGGGTCAAAACTGGCCCCGCCCCAGGGGTGTCATTGTTTTTAACTATATGTGTGTAGTAAAATCTTCTTTTAAAAAACCCAATGAGCTAGAGCTTAGATGTTTAGCATGAAATATCTTCTTATGGATGTCTACAAAGTTTGTTCAAATAAAAGCCCTTGGGTGAAAATTGGCCCTGCCAGGGGTGGGGGGGGGGAGAGGGGTAGGGTGAGGTCATTGTTTTTCATTACATATGTGTAGTAAAAACTTAACATTGTGAAACATCTTCTAATGAGTGTCTTCCAAGTTTGTTCAAATAACAGCCCTGGGGTTTAAACTGGCCCCGCTCAGGGGGCCTCTTATACAGGTGAGCGACCTCAGGGCCATCATGGCCCTCTTGTTCTGTTTAGATTATAATTATTGAGGATATTATAGGTTTATATGATTGAATTATTTTGAAATTAGGCAATCGTATTAATTGAAACTGGTGTTACTAAAAATATGTAAATTCACTAAATATCAATAAGTTGTGAATGATGCATATAAAATGTCAATTTTTTACAGTAATTTATCAAAACTTTGAACATGAATGATGCCTGAAGTATTCTTATGTAATGTTAACATTTGGGCTTATAATGCCATGCCTTTTCGGTGCTCTTGTTTCAGAAGTTGCTTAATTTAGGAACCTCTGTGGGTTGGAATCCTGACTGGGACTCCATGACATCATTCCTGTCAAATTCTAGAACCACTAGGCCACCATTCCTGTCAAAACCACTAGACCACCATTCCTGTCAAAGTCTTGAAATAGATAATCCACTGTTCTATACCAGTTCAAAGTAAGGGCAAAATCTTTAATCATTCTTAGCCAGATATTGTTAATTGATAGATAAAAATGATCAAATCTTGTGATTGTTTAAAAATATTTTCAGCACATTCTCAGAGAGATATCAACAATATAGAAAAGCCATACTTCTTGTTTCTACATTAGATGTGTTGTTGTCATTGGCAACTGTTGCACAGCAACATGGATATGTCAGGTATTTAGTATTCTTTCATAGTTTACATAAAAATAAATAACTTATAAAAATAAATAACTTATAGAAATTTGATTGTAAATGTATTCTGTTTAAAACTTTCAGGCCCAAGGTAAAAATAGAAAAACAACAAAAATTGGTAAATAAGTCTTAAAGTTAACTACAAACATTTGACATTTCGAATCAATTCTTTTATATATTTTACAAACATTGCTTTACAATGGTAGAACTCTCCCATGATCCCCTGTCTCTTCAATAAAAGAACATCTTGTAACCTTATACATGCTGCATATTTTCTTAGATCTTGCTTTTACTATCTGAACATATACATCTGCATCCTGTGTACATGTTGATGACAAAATCCATCTCTGAAAAAAAAATATATGTTGCTCCCTAATTAATCTGTTTTCAGGCCAGAAATAGTTTCTGATGAAATTTGTGTTGAGATTGAAGGTGGAAGACATCCCGTCATAGAGGAGTTGCTCGGGGAAAACAAACAATACGTAGCTAATGATACTAGACTAACCGTAAGATCCTATTTTTGCACATAACTGTTTGGTTAAATATTTATTTTTTTCTGTTTTACAGAAAAGAAAACTTTGCATTTTTGAAAAACAAAAAGTGTATTTCAAAGATGAATTTTCATACTCTAACAAAAAAGTAACATGCATATTTCAGACCAGTGCAGTGATATTGAAGATTTTGTATTTCAGACCAATGGTAGATTTTGTATTTCAGACCAGTGATAGATTTTGTATTTCAGACCAGTGGTAGATTTTGTATTTCAGACCAATGGTAGATTTTGTATTTCAGACCAGTGAAAGATTTTGTATTTCAGACCAGTGAAAGATTTTATATTTCAGACCAATGGTAGATTTTGTATTTCAGACCAGTGAAAGATTTTGTATTTCAGACCAATGGTAGATTTTGTATTTCAGACCAGTGAAAGATTTTGTATTTCAGACCAATGGTAGATTTTGTATTTCAGACCAATGATAGTAGATTTTGTATTTCAGACCAATGGTAGATTTTGTATTTCAGACCAGTGAAAGATTTTGTATTTCAGACCAGTGAAAGATTTTGTATTTCAGACCAATGGTAGATTTTGTATTTCAGACCAGTGAAAGACTTTGTTTTTCAGACCAGTGAAAGATTTTGTATTTCAGACCAGTGAAAGATTTTGTATTTCAGACCAGTGATAAATGTCAGACCAGTGATAGATTTTGTATTTCAGACCAGTGAAAGATTTTGTATTTCAGACCAATGGTAGATTTTGTATTTAAGACCAATCTTGGATTTTGTATTTCAAACCAATAGTAGATTTTGGTTTTCAGACCATTGGAAGATTTTGTATTTCAGACCAGTGGTAGATTTTGTATTTCAGACTAGTGGAAGATTTTGTATTTCAGACCAGCGGTAGATTTTGTATTTCAGATCAATGGTAGATTTTGTGTTTCAGGTCAATGTTGGATTTTGTATTTCAGATTAATGTTGGATTTTGTATTTCAGACCAGTGGTAAACATGTGATGATTATAACTGGGCCAAACATGGGTGGTAAGAGTTGTTACATCAGACAAGTGGCACTTATTTCTTTACTTGCTCAGATTGGTTCATATGTACCTGTCCAGTCAGCAAAACTTGGTATACTTGATTCTGTCTTTACCAGGTATGAATGACATAATATATGAATATAGTTTCAACTCAACTCATTTATTCTTGATAAAGGCCACTGGCCCTTGACACATAAATGCACAATACAAAAAACAGTTGGTGTGTAGACAATAAAGACATTTGAAATAAGTATGATGTAAAAATGCTACATGTTAAATGTTATGCAGTTAACATATAAGTAAGATGTCAACAAACTGTTGTTATTTAAATTCTTATTTTATTGTGCTATATTATATAAAGTTTATTTAGTAATAGAAAGAGCATTGAAACACAAGGCTATCTGATTTGTACGAGGGGGCGTAACCCCCGAGTATTAATCAGATTGCCGAGTGTTTTGATGTTCTTTCTCTTTTGTATCATAGTCAAACAAAAACACGTTCCCTGTTGTCACAATATGAAACCCCGGGAAAAAGTAACCAATGAACGAGCATCTGAATATGTTATTTCTGTCACTTTCGCTTTCTCTTCCGTCACAATATGTAAACCCCAGCAAAAATGAGCCAATCAATGGGCATGCTCTGGAGTGCACTCCAGGTAACGTACTGTCCATGTATATGTATATGATTTAACTCTGACTTATTTTCAACAGGAAGGTCCCCAAACTATGATACAATTATTAGAATACCATTTCTACTGCTTAACATTCTGTATAATTAGATTAAAGATGATAATTATGAATGATGTAAAAATAATTATGTAAGATGTTATACAAAAATATATAGTAAAATACTGTTAACATATTAGCTAGTTCAAAATGTTATTATAGAATTCTTTTAAGATTTTCTTTCTTTCAATTAAGTAAAAAATGTATGAAGCTGTGTTTCTTATCAAAATAACATTTCTACTACTTAGGAATATACTTAATTTTATTGAAGATTGGACAAGAAAATACTTTTTTGGAATGTATAAGTTTAGTAGATCTTGCGTTACTGGACATTTAAACATAAAATGTAACTCTTCATCAATTAGATGTACATGTATTGCATAATATTGCACAGTCCTTGTTCTCTCTGAATACCTTGATATTTTCAATATTGCACAGTCCTTGTTCTCTCTGAATACCTAATCCTTGATATTTACTCATTCTAATTCCAAAGCAAGAGAGCCAGATCAAAATTGAGCATAACAATGTCTAAACTTAGATACAAATAAAATTGTAAGTAATAATCATGTTCATAACTTGTTTTTTTACCCTTGTACACTGATAATTTAATGATGATTGGACAACACTATACCAATTTTGCAAATATTGGGACTTAACCCTTTCAGTAAGCTTAATGTGGTTTAAATTATGATTATTGTGCCACACATAGCTAAAACCATTAATATCCAACATATGTTTTATCTCTTTGGTCCAATTAAAATGAAGATCAGTGTTTTTACCCAGTAGAACATTAAAGCATTTTTTGACATACCTTTATCAGGCATGTTTATAATTTTTAACCAGGACTTCAAAGAATGTACATAAGAATATAAATAATGAGGATAAAGCCCATGTTCCCCTAGTGACAGGGCATTAGATCATATTTCATTCACAGATAAAAAAAAATGTGCATGCAAGATTATGTACTAGCTCAATACACTCTTTGAAACCCCAAATTTCACTACCATTTAGCAGGAGCAGTTTTTATCAGCAATGTCTCAAACATTTTATTTTGTAATATAGCCTGATTTGTTTTTAGTAAAAATTAATTTCCATTTTATGTTACGGATATGTACATGTATGCCTTCAGCTAGAAGTAAACATTATGCCGTACATGTTATTTCTTAAGTTTAAACTGGACAGATTATATTAGTAAACTATGTTGCTAACAAGTTATATTAGAGAATAGAACAAAGCTCGAGTATGAAACACTGTAGGTACCATTGAGATAAACACATCTCAAAAGTTTAAAATTTTCCTATTTATCACAAGAGCAAATTTATTATAAATTATAATATATTGTTTGATTGTAATTATGTACATTTTATGAGGCCCTTATATTATTAGTTATAAAGATTGTTGACAGGTTATATGGCCCTATATAAACGGCTGTTTGTAAATATAACCCGAGCCGCTAGACGAGGGTTATATTGTAAACAGCCGTTTATATACGACCATATAACCTATCAACAATCTTTATAACGAATTTATAATACAGCAAACATCATTTTTAGCTCACCTGTCACAATGTGACAGGGTGAGCTTTTGTGATCGCTTTTTGTCCGGCGTCCGTCCGTCCGTCGTCCGTCTGTAAACTTTTACTTTAAATAAAATCTCCTCATAAACCACTAAGCCAATTTCATCCAAACTTCACAGGAATGTTCCTTTGGTGGTCACCTTTAAAAATTGTTCAAAGAATTTAATTCCATGCAGATCTCTGGTTGCCATGGCAACCGAAAGAAAAAACTTTAAATATCTTCTTTTAAAAAACCATAAGAGCTAGAGCTTAGATATTTGGCATGAAACATCTTCTAGTGAGTGTCTACCAAGTTTGTTCAAATAAAAGCCCTGGGGTCAAAATTGGCCCCACCCCTTGGGGTCATTGATTTTCCCTATATACATATAGTAAAAACTTAAAAAATCTTCTTTTAAAGAACCCAAAGAGCTAGAGCTAAGATATTTAGCATGAAACATGTTCTAATGGGTGTCTACCAAGTTTGTTCAAATAAAAGCCCTGGGGTCAAAATTGGCACCGCCCAGGGGGTCATTGATTTTTCCTATATGCATATAGTAAAAACTTAAAAAATCTTCTTTTAAAGAACAAAAAGAGTTAGAGCTAAGATATTTAGCATGAAACATGTTCTAATAAGTGTCTACCAAGTTTGTTCAAATAAAAGCCCTTGGGTGAAAATTGGCCCCGCCCCGGGGGTCATTGATTTTCCCTATATGCACATTGTAAAAACCTAAAAAATCTTCTTTTAAAGAGCTCAAAGAGCTATGGCTAAGATATTTAGCATCAAACATGTTCTCATAGGTGTCTACCAAGTTTGTTCAAATAAAAGCCCTGGGGTCATTGGCACCGCCCAGGGGGTCATTGATTTTCCTTATATGTGTATAGCAAAAACTTAAAAAATCTTCTTTGAAAAAACCCAAATAGCGAGTTAAGATATTAAGCATGAAACATCTTTTAGTGAGTGTCTACAAAGTTTGTTCAAATAAAAGATCTTGGGTCAAAATTGGCCCCGCCCCGGGGGTCATTGATTTTCTTTATATGTGTATAGCAAAAACTTAAAATCTTCTTTGAAAAAACCCAAATAGCTAGAGTTTAGATATTAAGCATGAAACATCTTCTAGTAAGTGTCTACAAAGTTTGTTCAAATAGAAGCCCTGGGGTCAAAACTGGCCCGGCCCCAGGGGTGTTATTTGTTTTTAACTATATGTGTATAGTAAAAACTTAAAAAAAATCTTCTTTTAAAAAGCCCAATGAGCTAGAGCTTAGATGTTTAGCATGAAACATCTTCTTATGGGTGTCTACCAAGTTTGTGCAAAATAAAAGCCCTTGGGTTAAATTGGCCCTGCAACATGGGGGGGGGGGTTGGGGGGGGCCTATATACAGGTGAGCGACCTCAGGGCCATGATAGGGCCATCATGGCCCTCTTGTTTAGAGAAAAAAGTAAGATTTCTTCATGAATCGACAACAGCCGTGTATATAAAACTATATAAACGTCACAATTATCCAATGAAAAGCGACGTTACAAACGCGCAGTATTATAAAAGAGATTGCCTTTGTTACAACTGTGTATAGTCTGATTTTATTGACCTGTCAGTTATGAATACATTATAGGACTCATTTAAATATTCAGTCCCACTTAGGTTTGGTCCGTGTAGTTTACGAGAATTAATGTGAAGTATATTAGTCATGGATTGAAAGTCACGCCAGCGTAATGTGAAGGTTTTCGTGAATTCACAATAGCACAGACGGTTAAGAGAATGCCTGATAGGTCTGATGAGAGGTCTGTGGTTCCATCCTTACTGTTGCCGTTGTTTTAGTACTATTTCTTTATTTTTGCAGTATACTTTAATGGAACAGATTTGTAGTGTGTTTTACGGCATTGAAAATACATTTATTGATTTTAATCCATTTCAATTTTAAACATGAATTCTTTAAACATGTTATTTAAAAAGAGTATAGACATAACAAAATTAAGTAAAACATAAAAAAACCAAACAACATAAAACAAAATAATATATAGCTTCAATAATGTTGAAAGTATTAATAAGAAAAAACATGGACCAACGCGGTCTCGAACTTAAAACACGTGTGATACTTAGATTATAAACTCATGCTTTACCCGATTGCGCGATAACGCTGAGTACTATTAGTTTAGAGATAAAAATTAAATTAAATTCCATCGTACACCGTCTATCTTACGGAACTTACCAAAAATCTACCCAAGATTAATGTACTGTGTGCATCTACCGTGTAATCAGTATGTAATTGACAGGTTAATAAAACCAAACAATAGCCTTTTTAAATAAATACTTTGTTATTATTATTATTATTATAATTACTGTATAGATGAACAGGCTGGCATAGCTATATATTGATTGCAAAGGTCAGTTAAGGTTAAAAAATATGTTTTTTTATAGAATGGGAGCAGCAGATGACCTGTATCATGGTCGCAGTACTTTCATGGTTGAGTTACAGGAGGCATCTGATATCATGGCTAAGGCCACATCAAGGTCATTAGTGATTCTAGATGAGCTAGGTAGAGGTACCAGCACACATGATGGTGTGGCTATAGCACACTCTGTTCTACACTTCTTTATCAATCAGGTACTTAATATTTTCAGGGCTTTAAGTCTTATCCATGTTAGACTTTGATGATACTTATAATAGTAAAGAAAGTTTATGAAAGATTTATTTGTATTCCATTTCGATAATCATTCATTGAATAACAGTCCTTTGCTTATAATGAATTTCTATGAATTTAGCTTATTACTATATTTAAATCCCCTTGTATTGATACAACAAAATATCATTACATTTGTATATCATAATCTGATGTACAACAAATTTTGTTATGGCAATTGATGTATATGATTTAATTTTTTTTTTGTCACATTAAAGTCCTAAGGATAACTTTCATTAGGAGATCAGTTTAATCAATGATTATGAAAGTTTTTAACTAATTGATAGAGTTACAAAAATATTATTATTATATTTGTCCGAACTGCTGGCGGGTCTTCACACACCATGCTGACAAGTTTTACAAGTAACTTGTATAAGAAAACGATTTTCTCACAATGAAACTTAACTGGAGTGATCAGTACTATCCCTAGTTGTGCATATTGCCCATACATTCCCCTTCACTGCACAGAATAGAGTAATTTAATAGTATTTATTCGTTATTTCAGCCTAAATGTTTGACCCTGTTTGTGACACATTACCCATCATTATCTGAGTTTGAGACTCTGTACCCAGACAAAGTAGGCAACTTCCACATGTCCTTCCTTCTGAATGATGAGGAATCAGTGTCTGGTAAGTTGGCTGTACCTTCCTATTTCATCTGAGCACAAATTGCCAAGATGAATGTTGGGATGTCAATCTTGTATTATTTGACATTGGTAATGTTGTAATTGACTTCTTTAAAAGATGTTTCCTTAACTACTCTGTACGCATGATCATTTTGTTATAAAATTTTTTTTTTGTTCATGTCTCTACCATAAATTGGTCTCAAACTTTAAATTATGTGGTCATTTTGTTTTCAAGGAAATAAGTGTTTTCAATAAGCTTCCCTGGAAGTTAGTTATTTGGATGTATCTTTGTTTTTTCAGAGGATGGGGAGGAGATAACATTTCTGCATGATTTGAAGGAAGGTATTGCTGCCCGGAGTTATGGTCTTAATGTTGCCAGATTAGCCAACATACCAGATAATATTGTAAAAATTGCTGCAGTGAAGTCACATGATATGGAGAAAAGTGAACATGCTCATAGGTTGGTATAAAGGTTCTGAATGCAAAATGTGTTAAATGGCAGATCTATGCCACCTGTATAGCAAACAAACTAACTAGTTTATCTGTGAAGTCTGACCATTATTTACATTTTATACCCATTACTCTGCTGGAACTGAGCCTTGTCAGCCTTTGCCACCAGTAGAGCCAGGCCAGCCTGTAGGTATGCCCTTATATTTCATCTTCATATCTAAATAATTATAATGGACAAATCCAAAATGGAAGCTGGTCAAGTCTATAAAAGAAATTTACTGGGTTAAGAGATAATTTTGGCTGCTCATTTTTAGCACAAAGTGCTCACAGGTGAGCATTTGTGATGGCAGTGTGTCCCGTCATTTGTCATTCATTTTATCCCATTTTCGTTTCTCATTCATTTTATCCATTTCTTTATAAAGCATCTCCGCCTAAACAACTTGGTGGATTTTCACAAAACTTTACAGGAAAGGTCCATAGGTGGCCATCTACAAAATTTGTGCAAATGATTTCAGTTTGATGCATAAGGTCATTAAAGCTTAAAATAGACGTTAAAAATGAAATCTTTAAACATCTTCTGAGGAACTATATTCACTGTGTAGAGACATAATCATCGTTTTATTTACAGCAAGCTTATACAATACAATTTGTTAGTTAAACACATTTAAGTTTTCTTATGTGCAATTACAATGCCCAGAGCTTTGATATTTGGTGACAACCTAATGTGACCGAATTACTCACTTTAGGATTGAATAATTGTGACCTTTTCTAGCAATGCATCTCAGGTGAGCGATTCTGGGCCAGCATGTCCCTCTTGTAAGTATTTTGGTAAGAATCCATGAACATGATTTGCCTTCATTAATTCCTTAATTGTTAAGATAACTTTCTAAGTGAAAAAAGATACAGTTGTTTATCTTACAATTGTTTAATAGTCTTGACATCCCTTGTTACAGTTTTGTTGACATTGGAATAAAATCTAGGGATGATAATAGCTTTTTCTGTTCTCTTAGAAATAATTTCTAGCACTTTCTCTGATGTATTTCAGGATAAGAAGGGAAATTTTCCAGCGTTTGTTCACTGACAGCTGTCAAGATTTATACAAGAAGTTGATTGAAGAATTACAAGATCAGAACATTTCTTAAGTTACAATTTTGATATGGAATGATTTTTAGCTCGACTTTTCTATGAAAAGGGGAGCTATCCTACTCGCCCCGGCGTCGGCGTTGGCGTCACACCTTGGTTAAGTTTTTCGTACCACCCCACTTTATTTCAGAAGTATTACAAGTATGGCTTTGAAACTTACCATACTTGTTCACCATCATAACCTCCATCTACAGACAAGAGTACATAACTCTGTCAAGGTTTTTGACAGAATTATGGCCCTTTTTTGACTTAGAAAGTGTATTGAGCTTGGTTAAGTTTTTTGTACCACCTCACTTTATTTCAAAACCATTGGAGGTATTGCTTTGAAACTGACCATACTTGTTTACCATCACGACCTTCATCAACAGACAAGAGGACATAACTCTGTCAAGGTTTTTGACAGAATTATGCCCTTTTTGACTTAGAAAATACATTGAATATGGGTAAAATCCACTTATTGCCTTAACCCTTTGAGATATTGCTTTGAAACTTTTAATGCTATTTCACATCATTACCCCCATCTGTACGCAAGAGAAGGTAACTCTGTCAAGGATTTGTTTTAAAAATTAAGGCCTTTTATCGACTTAGAATCTTGGTTAAGTTTTTAGTACCAGTCCACTTTTTGACTGAACTGTTTGAGATATTAATTTGAAAGTTGGAATACTTGTTTACAATCATGATTCCCAAACATGTCCAGGAGAAGGTAATTCTGTCAAAGATTTTATTTGAATTATGGCCCTTAACTGTCAATGTTTTGTATTATAGGCAAGCACTAAAAAACTTAAAAAATCTAAAAAAATTCATTCCTATCCACTTGTTCACTTTACCATAAATTATGTCATAATAAAATAATTCTTCACTAAATATCTTAATGCTCATGGCCATTGTTCACTTTAAAAATACAGAGATTCTTGTATTGCCTTTTACTGCAAAAACTTTTTTTATTGGCAAGCAATAAAAAAGTCGAGCGCGCTGTCTTACGGACAGCTCTTGTTTATATACTAGTACATTACATGTTTTTAAATGATAATAAAAGAAATAAATTAGATTCCATTTAGTTTTTGTTTTCTCCGTCATAGATATCCATGATATTTGAGACATAATTATAATGTATGATTAATGCTTTGGTATGATATATGAGCCGCGTCATGACAAAACCAACATAATGGCTTTGGGACCAGCATAGATCCAGACCAGCCTGCGCATCCCCTCAGTCTGATCAGGATCCATGCTGTTCGCTGTCAGTTTCTTTACTTGTTATAGGGTCTGTAAGCGAACAGCATGGATCCTGATCAGACTGCGCGGATGCGCAGGCTGGTCTGGATCCATGCTGGTCGCAAACCCATTATGTTGGTTTTGTCGTAAAGCGGCTCATATCATGAAGTACAGTCTGATTGTATTGAATTGTCAATAATAAATATATTATAGCACATATCTAAATATTCGATCACACTTCGGTTATGTCCAAGAAGTTTACAAGAATTAATATGGAGTATAGAACTAATGTTTTGAAAGTCACACCAACTTAATGTAAAGGTTGTTGTTACATCCGCCATAGCAAAGTCGGTCAAGGGGTTGCCTGATATGTGAATGGTCTGTGTGCGTGTCATTCAAGTTTACTTGCACACAAAAATACTTTTCCTGCTTCATTCACATTTATCTATTAAAGAGGCTGTGATATCTTACAGTAGCATGGAGCTAAATATAAGATTATATATATGTGACAGTAGAAAACGTAAGACTTTAAGATTAAGATTATGCTTTTAAGACAAGCATAACAACATTTGTAATAAAAACAAAACCAAATATTATTATATTTATTAGATAAAACTTATTCATATGTAGCACTACAAAGAATTAACAGATGCATTGAACATGTTGAAGGAAATTAACAATCTTGTGCAACAAACTTTTTATGCCCCCCAAGGGCGCCTATTAAGATCGCACTGTCTGTCTGTTTGTTGGTCCCCACTTCATTCATGTCCGGATTGTCACTGTCATACATTGAGAGATTTTGAAAAAGCTTGGCAAAAATGTCTACCACATCAAGACGATGTGTGTTGCATCGAAGAACCTTGCCCCTACCTCACATGTCAAGGTCAGACTTACATTTTAAAGTTTCACGTTATCACAATTAGAGTTAATAGGTACACACATTCGTGTCCGGACTGTAACTTTGACATTCATTGAATGTTGCGTCCAAGAGTTATGTCCCTACTTCAAATGTCAAGGTCACACTACCATTTTGAAGTTTCACATTATCACTTTTAGAGTTAAATGGTACACACAACCGTCTCCGGCTGTAACTTTATCATGCATCAAACGATTTTAGAATAACTTGGCGTAAATGTCTACCACATCAATCTGATGTATCGCGTCCAAGAATCACGTCCCTACCCCAAAGGTCAAGGTCATGCTAACATTTTGAAGTTTCATCTTATCAAAATAAGAGTTTATAGGTACACACATTTGTGTCCTGACTGTAACTTATTCACGCATCAACAGATTTTAGAATAACTTGGCAAAAATGTGTACCACAACAAGACGATGTGTCGCGTCAAAGAAGCACGTCCCTACCTCAAAGGTCAAGGTCACACTACCATTTCGAAGTTCACTTTATCACAATTAGAGTTTATAGGTACACATTCGTGTCCAGGCTGTAACATTTGTCATGCATTGAAGGATTTTAAAATAACTAGGCATAAATGTCTACCGCATCAAGACGACATGTCGCGACCCTTGAACTAAGGGTTTTTAAGTTTTCTATAAATAGGTCTTTATTTACCCAAAAACAATATTAAGCAATTAGTTACTTTCATTCCCCTTTCTTTTCATGAAACCTTTTCGAGGGCATTCGTCACTTGCACGACAGCTCTTGTTTTTTGGATTTAATAATAATAATAAACAAAAAACTTTTTTTTTCAAAATAAGTTCTTGTCATTGGCTTTTTTATTTTATTGAGGCCGATTTTAGAACAAGCATGCAGACAAATACATGTATTGTGTTTATAATTTGATTAGAATGCTAGCAAGTTAACATTTGATTTAGGGACTCAAATGTGTTTTCACATGAAAGTATTTAGAGATAACTGTTCGGTTTTATGTACGTCTATGCCAATATCTTAAGTGTAAAATATCAGGTCATTCGTTCACTCCGATTATCTAGAATAATTATTCGAATTGTGAAATATATTTATAAAACGTTAAAACGCCTTCCACTAAAATGGGACTAAGAACAGCACAAAAATATGATTTTCATTTTATTTTTCAATATATTTCTTCACTAATTTTTGTTTATGTTTCTGTTTTAAGTGTTCAGGTTGACCTATGCAAGAATTTCATAGTTTTATGTTTTCTAGTACAAAAATAAAGGACGGTGATATAAAAAAGATTTAAGAAGGGAATATTTCTCCCAGTAAAAATGAAATATAAATACTTAAGAAAAAAACTCATTGAATTTGGTATTTCTTCGTGGATTTTCTTGTTGTTTTGTTATTTATTTTCTTCTCGCCGTTATCTTATATCCCAGGTTGAAGTTACTTTCTTTTGTTGTTTTATTGTTTATTTTCTTCTCACCATCATTGTTGTATTATAAAACTTGACTCCAAATAACACTTTTACACCGTTCAAGTTACTTTCTTGACATGTCTTGTTATCTGGAAACCACCATCCCCCACCTGAGCCAGTCGCACACTTCATTCTTGTATCCCGGTCATATGTTACAAATCGACTTCCTACTTCGTTCGAACCTTGTAATTTTATTATAAATAAAAAAACAGGTGATTAGTAATAAAGTAAATAATCTAAAGAAATACAAAACATAATTTTACCATCATTTTTTATACATCTTTACTTTAAATCAGAGTACGTTTTCTTTTTTCGATTTCTGAACGATTCTTGTGTGACATATCTTGATTGATTTATTGAAAGGCAACACATTAACAAACACAATTCCGGTCCATTGAAATACATCTTATAATAAAATACTTTCACTTATATTAATTTATGCTAGCATACTGGTTGAAGAGATAACTCCGACACATAGATAAACCCGACACTTGGTTCAATTTTTTTGTTCAACAAACAAGCACATGGTCATCTAATAATAAAAGTGAAGGACGACTGTGATTAGATTTTTAAATTTGGTAAACTTTTTAATGGGTTTATGTTGACCACAATTTTTTTGTTACAAAAACTGCCACAAAACGGTCTTTTTACTTAGCTTCCAGACAGTAGTTAGAATTGTCTTGAACACAGGGTAGTGACTTGGGAAAAGTTCTTTAAAAATTTGTTAAATTATCAATAAGGCATAGATAAAGCTTATAAAATGTAAAAATAAATGATTAGTTCTAATTTTCAAGCTAGTATTTACTTTAAAATTAAAGTGTCAACTTTATCTACTGTTCAGGGTTAAAAAGACCATGTTTCGGATACCTTATTCAGGACCTTAAGGAAGTACCAGTTTCCATTTCGAGAAGAAAATTTGCACATGGTCATAAATATTTGAACCTAACTTTGTTTAGGTGGGTAAAAATTTAAAATATACACAAAAATAAAAAAGATATTTAAAAAAATAGTGATTTAGTGTCGGAGTTATCTCTCCAACCAGTAGAGAGAAACAATCCATAAATGGAGCCCAACTCGGCAAAATTAAAAATGTTGCAGGTTAGGTTTGATTGAGTCTGTTTTGGACGGTTACTCACAAGGGCAAGCTACACGTCAAGCCCCCCTAGTACCGGCTTAAGCGGTATTCAACATTTGACATGAAATGGTAAAATTTTGAATTTTAAAACATCCGCAGATGTGTTCATACGAAGTTTTGGCAAAAATTAATACTTTCTTCTTTTAGATCTTCACCGTCTGAGAATATGTAGTGTTCTCCAAGAAGTTTGAAATTGACCAAACTTGCGTCCCCATTTACAACGACTCTCATTTTACTAGGTGCATCTGTAATTTCTTGTATATATTTAAGACCTACAAACCAAAGCGAACATTTTAAGAAAAAGGTTTTTGTTATCAAAATAAAAAGTTCTTCTTTGATAATGAGTGAAATCAAAATACTTTGAATTATACACTCCTATATATAATATATATTTACTTTATATAAAATATTAATTAAAACATATCGTCATTTACACATTTTTGAATTGAACCATTTTAAAACAAATATCTTAAAATCATATTTTTCTTTAGACATGACAAACATAAATTTTACAGCAGTTAAATAATGGTTTTAGAGAATGTTGAGTGCTTGTCACATGAGGAAAGTACGGCAGAATTTGAAATTATTTGTTATTAAAGTAGCAAAATGTTAACAAAGAAGTACTTTCACTTCCACCAGAAACAAAAGGTGTTTTAAAACTATATAAAGTAAGACACAAAAAATAAAAAGCATTCGGGAAATAGGAAATAAATAAACAACTAGTCTAAGAGTACTTTTTGTCTATTTAAATCCACATACCTAACCAGAACTCATTCCTTATATCGCCGAATCCATCTTCATAGGCTTGAAAGCTTTTATTGAAAGATGTGCTTCCGTCAATTCGATTTTGGATTACCTTGAATATCAGAAGGACAACAAAATATGAGACATGATGGTTCAATATACTCGGCATATTGTTACATAAGACGGTGATGAAAGTATTGAAAGGTCTACGATTTTAAAAAAAGATTCTGAAAGGTTATTTTCCTTCTTTTTGTAGATTTGATTAATTGGCCATTTTTGACAGACTGTATGACGTTTGAGATACTTTGAAGTAATTTATAGTTTGGATAAATGCAGACTTCAAACAAGCCATCGCCAGGCACCATATTTTACAAGGATATAACATTGGCTGAGGCAACATCGAGGGGTGATTGTGCAAAATTAAATGTTGAAGCCATTAGGCCGAGACGAAAAGTTGCAGAAACATCCCGAGATAATAGTTGTAGGATTTTCTTTATCCATTTCTGATCGATTTAATCACTGAAAGGCTTTTGTTATGTTAAACAACTCATGATACATTTTGTATTTGCAATATAATAATTTTATTCGGTATCAATGCTGCTGGTTTTGAAATACTTTTTGAAGAGGATATTTAGTGCCATATGGCAAATCAAACTCCCCTTTCTCAACGTATATGGTCATAATCTTAAGGTAAAAATGTTTGAGAAATAAGTACATACCGTCCAACCACCACCATCGGATGTCATGTCACAGTACACATCGATTATTTCCAAACTTGGTAGTCTTATTTCATAGACACCAGTTTCTGCATTTTTGTTGTTTTTCAAAGCGTGTTGAAAAGCGTCTTTGCAGTCAACCTTGAAATCTGAAAATGAGAATGGGTGTTACTTTAAAAACTTAATCATAGATCTAGCAGCTGTGAAAACAAACAACTTATTTTCAGACACAGGCTTGGTCATATTGAATCTGATCATAAGAGGTAACCACATCCAAAACATTTGTATGTTACAATGATATCTTGGCCAAATAAATGACAACACTGATAAAATATCAAGACATAAAGAAGTGGCACTTGATCGGCCAGAACATGAAACGAAACGAAACGAAACGAAAAAAACATTCATCAAAATGTATTGTAATTAGAATTAAACTTCGTTTTAATAATGTTTGAAATTGACATCACCAAACATTACGAACCTCTTCGAGTATATTGTATTGAATTTGAAGTATTTGGCAAAGGTTGAAAACTCATTGCCTCACATCCAATACACAGAACATGTTCCGGTTGATACACACTTGTCAGGCATTTGTTGTGTAGGAAACATATTTTGCTGCAAGCCATCTCATCAGAAACGTCGTTTCGGATAAACAGATATTCGGATGAAGAACATGTGATTCCATAAGATTCATCTTCAAGACGAAATTTTGTCCAATTGATGTTTGTTGTCAATGTTACATTCAGTAAAGTCACAAATGTCCATATGCACAACAAAATAACAGTCATGTTTGTTTCTTTCATGTTCAACAATTTGTAATATAGTATACAATGTCATCAAAATTTTGATCCTGTTGAAAAAATAATCTTTTAGTGTTAATATTGTTTTTAATTATGCTTTTCCTGAAATGGTTTCAGTAAACCAATATATTGGGTTATAAAAATGAGTCTCCAAGAAAGAAAACTGGGATTGTTTTGGAATCATGTGGACAAACATTATTGATTCTAAAACTTAATATAGTTCAAACATATTACAACAGGAAATGGGTATGAATTATTTACTGAGTCTAATTAAGTTTCAACAATAGTTCTCCTGTTCTAAGAATAGGTCTCTTTTAATATTGAAAAAATATAGATATTTAATTATTCGGAAAGTCTGAATAATAAGCTTTTTCGTCGGAAACATGTTGTAGAGAAAAAAAGAATGCAGCAACTTACTCCGCTTCAATGATAATCTGTTTAATGATGTAAAGCATATCACTCACACAGTAACATTAACTATCAGTGATATGGACTTTTTTGTAGAAAAGATATCAGAATGTTTGTTCTTAAATGGATAGGCTATTTATCACAGGAACTTGAAATTCTATCAAATAACCAATATTAATTATACACTCAGTACAAAAAGAAACGCAAACTGTATATATAACTGGTCATCTCCCATAGTGGATGTGGTGCAGAAAAAACTTCAATACCTTTTCAATATTTCATCCATGCTTTATTCAATAACACAACAATTTCATTGATACCTGCAAAATTACGAAAGTTCCAGCAGTTTAAACACAGCGCTATCGATCACGAAAATTTCAGTTTCAATACCTTGTGTGTCCACCCCTAGCATTGAAAAGCGCCTGGCAGCGGCGACGCATAGAGGTCACTAACATAGCAATGGATGCCTGGGGAATGTTATTCCACTCCTGCACTGCGACGCGACGAAGTTCCTGCACCGTCTGGGGCTGTGGCTGATGCTCATAAATGCAACGTTTTAGCTCGTCCCATAAGTGTTCAATAGGCGCCATATCTGGCGACATTGCAGGCCAGTCTAGCACATTGATGTGGTTCCGAGCAAGAAAGTTTTGAGTCAAACGTGCTGTGTGCGGGCGAGCGTTATCCTGTTGAAGTGTCCCATGTCCCTGAAAATGACGGTTCATGTACGGTACGACAACAGGTGCTAGAACATCATTGACATAGGTCTGAGCATTGACATTACGGTCGAACACTACAAGATCTGTTCTTCAAAACTGTGACATACCTGCCCATATGTGAATGGAGCCACCACCCCAACGGTTAAAAGTCTGAATACAGGCTTCGGCATAACGCTCGTTCCTGCGCCTCCAAACACGTGCACGACCATCGGCTCTGCTCAGCACTATTTTAGTTTCGTCAGAGAAAAGTACCCTGCTCCAGAATTTACGGATCATTCTTATGTGCACTCTAGCCCACCGTAGTCGATCCCGTTTGTGACGTGCAGTGAGGCGTGATGCCTTGAGGGGTCTCCTACACCTCAAACCAACTTCCTTAAGCCGATTTCGAACTGTGTTTGCGTGTATACTGTGCCTGAAAAGTAACGCAACGTCTCAAAAAGGGCAAACCTCATCAAAATGTGAACAGCTCAAAATTTGATAAGAGGAAGAATTTCGGAAAGATAGCATTATTTTCACCTACCCGTGAGTACCTATTGTTCGTCTAGCTGTAGAGGACGCCGCTTCGAATCGATTACGGTGGACCACTCGAATATTCACATCCTGTCTCCTAGTGGTTATTCGTGGTCGACCGGATTTTGGTAAGTCTTTGACACTGCCAGAGGCATTGTACCTATTCTGTAGACGAGTGATAGTGCTAACATGACAATTAAATCGCCGTGCAACGTCAATCTTCGAAACACCAGCTTCAAGTAAACCAATTGCTTGATTCCGCAAATGTTCAGCATGGCGCGGCATGGTTATAAAGTACTGACAGTTCAAATAAACTTGTTTTTCATGTGTACCGATTCATCACTACACGGCTACAATATAGAAACTATCGGTAAAATATAGAGCACGGTGTGCACGTGGAAATGTGGTTTGTACAGTTTGCCGTTAAACTGCATTGAGGGAGGTTAAAAATAATGCCGTTTTGTACTCAAGTTAACAATAAAATGTCATTGAGAATATTAAAGGGAAAATTGTTTGTCCAAATTTAGTATAAACCTAAAAAAATGAAAAATGAAAAAGTTGCGTTTCTTTTTGTACTGAGTGTAATTTCCAAATATACCCCCTATATACTATAAAAAAACACAGGAACTTGAAATTCTATCAAATAACCAATATTAATTATAATTTCCAAATATACCCCCTATATACTATAAAAAAACACTTTTTATAGTATATAGGGGGTATATTTCGCATATTATCGTTAATAGTGATAGAATTTCAAGTTCCTGTGCTATTTATAGTAAAAATGTGGATTTTATCTGAGATGTTTAGCATAGTAATTACGAAAACATAAACAATCCTTAAATAGTATATTCACGACAGGTGACTAAAGCAACAGTATTTGTTGACTTTTTAAATTAAATTGCTGGAAAACAGCGTTAAAAGCATAACGTTAAATATCTAAATTCTCTGATGCGCAATTTTAATTAAAGTATCAATGGAACTCCAATGAGGTCCAGAAGCGTAAAAACATAAAATTTGATTTTTTTACATAGATCAACTTGGGCACTTAATGGAAAAAGGATTTGCAAAGATAATAAATAAATAAATAAATAAATAAATAAATAAATAAATCCAGACATTATTAGAAAGACGTATTTTCGTGCTATTGTTTGCACGATTTTAGTAAAAATGCGTTGAAACCATTTTCAATTTTTGGTCATTTTTTACAGTTGGAATAATTATTCTGGAATAAAGAAGTGAGCGAATGGTCTGAAATTTTACACAAAAGTTACTGATCTAGACTAACATCAAATGGAACCTTAGTTCCTTATTTCCAGTCCCGTCATGTCAAAAAATACCTCAGTGGAGTTGCTTTAAAATTCAAACGAATTTTTTTTAAACTGAAGGTAGCGTAAAAATAACTTTAAAACATATTGATTATCTGAGGAAACAATCGAGGATATTCAAGGGTTTTCTATAATCACAGGATTTATTTTCATCGAGTGGTATAAAAATAAACCTTTCATGAGTGGCGGTAGTCACGAGAGAAATATGATAATTTTCATACCACAAGATACAAGTAAAACCTGTATTTATAGAAAAACCTGAATTTTCTGTTTATTATATACACTTTTTTGACATTACAATTTGAAAAAAATTACCTTAAATGTTGTGTATTATTTCAAAAAAAGTAGTCCGGCAAGACACAAGTGAAAATACGGAAAATATGATTCACTGCAGTATATTATTTAAAAAAAAAGATTAAATTTCGATAGTGCTCTTTGAAGATTTTATATTTTCTTTTTCAATAATGATTTTAAACGGTGTGGAACTGTTCTGTTATGTTCAATGATTTTTAAAGTTGCGCACAATAATCGAAATACTTATCAACACTTTTGTAACAATACAAATGATCGATCCAAAGCAATTTAAACAATTACATTTGAAATAATACAATCACGTAATCAAAGATTTAAATAATATATTAAAAAAAATATATATATAAAAAATAAATAAAAAACACACACAAAAACAACAGCATAACTACCCAAGTCCTATTCCAAACTTAGAAAATATCTCACGTACTAACCTGTTGTCACGTCTTTAAAATATATATTTTACAACAGATTTATAAACATGTCAAAACGAGTAAGATAATGGCATGATTTATAAAATGAGAAGAAACAACATAAAACCAATGAAAAGAATCGATACAATTTAAATATAATAGGGTTTGGATACAATATTTGTTATATCTACATGTATATGAAAGACAACAAATATCTAGACTATCAATTCCAACTAATCCTACGGAAACCGATCTATTTTAGATCATATATTGCTTTCGCAGAGAAAATATACAGAGGAAACGAAACCAGTTAGTATATACATTAAGTACGTAACTTTTAAGTATTTATGAAAGTAACGAGAAGCGGACACTTTTCTAGTGTAGATCAGGATCAATGAAATAATGTGAACTTTTTTCTTTCCTTAAGTTTCTATGGTCGAATTTTTTCACGAGATTCCGATGGAATCAGTTTTGCTTTCACAAACAGAAAAATAAAACCATTTCTCGAAAACCACGACGGCATAATATATGTCATTGTTTAGAAAATAATACCTTGTACTCCTCTGAAATTATTACGAAAGTCTGTTTATTTTGATGGGTATTTAATCAAGCCTATGGATTTTCCTTTTTTCAATTCTTTTTTTTGTCTGGATAGGTTTAGTTTTATAAAATTTGATAGTTTTGCAAGTTATTCACAAGAAAAAGAAGTAAACAAGCATTTCTATTGAATATTATCGCCGGACGGCAATATATACAATTAACAAGATTTGAATAGTTGTACCTCTTTAGTCAAATAATTCAATTTAACATGATAACAAAATGGAAGCCAAAAAAACTTCAACGAGGGGTACTTAAATGGACTCGCCAAACCACCATGATTACTTCTTCGTATAACTGAAAAATACCATTATCAATGTACGAACTCAGTACCAGTCTTTAGTCTCTTGCAGGATAAACACAGCGACTTGCAATATTTTTTGCTACATGTTATTTCTGATAAGAGAATGTAGTCTTAATAAGGGTATATTTTGTTTTCTTTCCAAAACAAAACTGGCATTTAAAGAAAAAAAAACTTAAATTTTTTCCGGGCGAGTTTAATTCTATGGGTGTTTTTATTGCATCATACCTATAACATAGCAGGTCAGTTATAGTCCGTATCAGAAAAAAGTCGGAAAGCAGTTGACGGAGAACATAAACTCCATTATTAGAATGTCGACAGAGATCATTTTTAATATGTAGCAAGTAACTGTTGTTTATTACGCAAGGAACTATTTT